CATCCCGAAGGGCGAGTGGACCTGTGTGATATTCTAACTTGGCGGGGGCATTTTTCCACCCAAAAAAAAAATCAATTTAACCTTTTCTTTTGCCTAAATTGAGCCTGGAATTAATCTAGGATATAAGTTCTAAATATTAACATTGTTCTAAATATTCTTAATGTGTACGCAGTTTAATGAAGGTAATAAGAGAACTCTAAAAATTTGATACCACTCTTTAAGTTCTTTTTATATTGTATTATGTATAATAGAGATTATTTGTTTTAGTGAGTCATGAAATATAATTTAAATTTTTATTTGACATTTGAAACATATATATTTGAGGTTCATAAATCATAAATAGACAATACGAAGTACAAATGTATTAATCATTGATGTCAATCGATTAAATTTTGCCAAGATTCACATCCAATATGCGCATATGCTCATTTTGGATAACAATAGTAAGAGTTTAGTAGATGATGGATCATTGCATTATATATATGAACTTGCTTTTTAGCCACAAGCTCTGCCTCTATCTAGGAAATCTTAGATTCGTTGATATCGAATTCTTTTATGGTAGCAAAAGTATCATGATTATAGAATCATTTATAGGTATTTCTATTATGACACGTTTCTGAGATGTTGTTTTTAATGTGTAAGTGTTTTAAGAGAATATCATGTTATACATATTGTATGACTATATTTTGAAGAAAATCTTCTATTGAAATAGAATATTCTTAGATTTTACTTGTGCTCCTTACATGATCGATGTATAAAAGCTACTCGAGCATGTAACATAATTTTCTCGTCATTTGTAGTTAAAATTATACTCTCAAAAGTTGGAATTCGATCCTTTGAGTATAATTTTACAAACTTTTGGTATATATAATTGTAACGAAGCAAGAAACAATGAAAAGAAAAGTCGGACTCATAAAATCTATCCCACCCATCATAACAACCACCAAAAAAAATAAAAAAGAAATTGAAAAAGCAGGTGGAAATGGAAAAAGGCGGAAGAGCTGATCTCAATAATTGTGGAAAAGAAAAGGGCAAAATACGTAGAGTCAACGCACTCGTATACCCGTAAATGTAAAAAAATACAGTATAGAGATCGTAGTTGTTAAATTAGAAAGGATAAAATAAGGCCGACGCGTGGACAGGAAGATTGACGTGGGAGGTACGCCATCTGAAAATATGCGTGAAATCCCAAAAATACCCTGATGGCTTGTCAAAAAAAGCGGTGATAAAGTAGGTTACGGAAGTGCAGAATTGGGAATAACAAAAAGACACGTGGAACCCGCGTGAACCCAGATGACCGCCTCTCCTGTTTTTCCACCGTAATAATTCCTTCATGGGAGCATCATTCATATAAAAATAAACCCAAATACCCTACTTGTAATTTTATTCAGATTTCCTTATTCTTTACACAAATCTGCTGTTACACAGAGCCAGCCAATTTTATTAATTATATCTTTGATTCCTTCATTCATCGATTGATTGATTTATTCCCACCAAAAATTTATTAAAATTAATAAAGAAGCGTGATTTAGGGTTTTGTATTTTGCAATTCTAGGGTTTGTCTTCTTGAAATCGGATTATTACTATTCATGGTATAGAACAAGATGGGTGCTGAAGCTGAAGTTGTTTGTCCTCAAATTGTTCCTAATCTCGACGCCGTTCTCGCCTGTTCTCAACTTGTAAGTTTCTTTTTCTGTAGATCGTAACTTTTCTGCCTCAATTCTACCCTGAATTTTGATTGTTTTCATGGGTTAGCTTTTTTTCTTTAATTAGATAGAATTTCTGCATAATTCTCTTGTTTCTCCCTGTATTCCAATTCGTTACTTTTATCAACTAGTATTGATTGTTTACTTTTAGATGTGAGAAAATACTGAGGCAATTGGATTCTCTCAAACGAAAGGTTAATTTGATCTTACGCGTTTTTGAAACTTGATCACAATTCTATGCTTTTTGTCCTTCCTCCCCCAATTCTGGTGTTGGTTCAAGATTTGCAAACCCTTGTTAGATGAAGCTCGGAGGTTTATAGGACTTTAAATTTGTAACTCTTTACAGAATATGAATAAAATTACTTATTTCACACAATTGAATCATAAAACTTGTCCTGCTCAAATTAAAATTGGCTGCTCATAAGGTAGTATATGAATTGGAAGGTAGCAAGATTAGGTAATAACGAGTGAATCTTGTGAGGCATGTATGCTATATATTGATATAAGTATAAATTTGAGGATACTTACGGACTATATGATTATCTCCTGGCACCGGTTGTTCATCTGGAATACCCTTTGTCATGTAAATCAGGCTATGGTGTTGAGAACTCAACATTCTTGTCTAGACTCTGGAGCGAATCCAGATCTGACGGTAACTCGCACATGCCAATTCAATTTTAGTTTGGTGTTTCTTTTCTTGTTAACAAGTTTTAGTAGTAATTTAAGTGTAGTTTTGAAGAATTATATCACTTTGGAACCAATAAAACTCCAATTGTGCTTTTCCAGTTTTATACATTATCATCTTTTCATCAGCCTACCGAGTATTTGTGACTTTGTGATGATTTTTATCACTGTGTTTTGTACGTTTAATCACGGTCATAGTTGCTGTTGTGACTGTATCATGTCTTTTTTTCTGTTTATATCACAGTTCAAACTTATGCTGGAGGTGTAGGAGTTGTTGGAGTTATTATGTTACTTTATAATGGATACTGATTAATTTTTTTAATTTTTAGGATAAAAAGACCCCGGAAGCAGTGGCAGACGGTTCTCTTTCTTCTACCATGCAGCAGTTTGTACCAATTATCCGCTCTGGAAGCTTTACTGACATTGGGCCACGGAGATTCATGGAAGATGAACATATAAGGATTGATGATCTTTGTATGCATTTGGGTTCAATGTTTACATGTCCCAAGCCTAGTGCTTTTTATGGGGTTTTTGATGGTCATGGAGGACCTGAAGCAGCAGCTTATGTCCGCAATAATGTGAATAGATTCTTTTTTGAAGATGTCAATTTCCCCGAAGCCTCTGAATTGAATGACATATTTCTTCAAGGAGTGGAGAATTGCCTTCGCCAAGCCTTTCTTCTGGCAGATCTAGCCCTTTCTGATGATTGCAGCATCAGTACTTCTTCAGGAACAACTGCTCTTACAGCTTTGATATTGGGAAGGTAAGTTAAATGTAAAGTGCTAGCTCTTCCTGGAGTTTTCTCCTTTTTGTTTCTCTGCATTTTTAGTTGGTGTCATGCCTCCTCTGTTACTTGATATTGTTGCTAGCATTTCAAGTACCATTGTGTTTTACTTGATGAAACTATGTTGCTCCCTTTGATGAAGTATACACTTTAAGTGACTAGCTAGTTTAGCATGACTTTTTATTTTTTTAATGAAATGGGGATTGTTTATGAGCTTATTATTCTGTATGAGGCGGCTTTTTCTCTGTCTTTACAGTCTTCCGTAATAAGTATCTGACCATTCATCTTTGTGCTTGCTTTCTTTCAGGCTCTTGCTGGTTGCAAATGCTGGTGATTGTCGAGCTGTCCTTTGTCGGAAAGGAGAAGCCATTGATATGTCTCAAGACCACAGACCTACATATCCATCAGAGAAGAGGAGAGTTGAAGAATTAGGGGGTTACATAGACGATGGATATCTGAATGGAGTTTTATCAGTGACTAGAGCTCTGGGGGACTGGGACATGAAACTTCCCAAGGGTTCAGCCTCACCCCTCATTGCCGATCCTGAACTAAGACAAATTATTTTGACCGAAGATGACGAGTTCCTCATAATTGGATGTGATGGAATTTGGGATGTATTGTCAAGCCAACAAGCAGTCAGCATTGTGCGTCGCGGATTAAGGCGGCATGATGACCCAGAACTATGTGCTAAGGAGCTGGTCAGAGAGGCCTTGAGGCTCCACACCTTTGACAATCTCACTGTCATAGTTGTGTGCTTTTCTTCTTCCGATCACCAGAGAGAACAATCAGGGTCCAGGCCTCGGAGATTCCGGTGCAGCCTCTCAGCAGAGGCCTTGTCTACTCTGAATAGCTTGCTGGAGACCAATGACAGTCACTGATTCATTTTTAAGAGTGTAAATAACATCTGTTAGAAGTCGGTGTGCTCAATGTACTGTGCGTGATTGATGGAGATGTTCCATGTTACTGTTTTAAGCTGCTTCAGTAGGACTTGTTAGAAAAAGCGGCTTGCAGTTTTGTTAGGGGTTCTTATTTTGATGGTAGATTATTTAACTGTTGTGTATCGGGCTATTGTTGGCAGGACAGGTTGATGTGAATATAATTGAAGGGATTGAAGGTGTTTGGAGGTGTATAAACAATGCTCTATTCTTTAGTATTCAGTGATTACATTTGTGTTTTTAATTCATTTTTGTTCTCATTGTTCATCGTCTATCATCCAGCTCATATCCCCTTTAAAGTGTTTTAACAGCTTTGACTCTCGGGTTAGAGGAGATTAATAGTTAGAACTTTAAAGTAGTGCATTGTAATACGAGTGGTTATTATGTACACCTCTGATTCCGTAGGCTGCAATTAGGCAACTCCTTTGTTTTACTTCCCAATATCATGAATATATCTCTTGTGAGGACTGTATTGTAGAGGAAATACGGAGTATATAAATAAGTGGTAAATGTTGTCATAGATTACTTGATCCTATGGTCCCCTTATCTCTCTCACTCTACTTTCTCTTCCCCGCGGTCCTCTCACTCAAACAGTCCACTCCTGCCACCACTCAGGCACTCACCCACACCAACAACCCAACAAGCACCGGCCACACTGCATTGAGAAGGGGAGAGAAGAGATAAAAGGAGGGGCAAATGTGTAAAACGCCATGGCAATATCAAGTAATCCATGACTGTTTTACGCTATTCAAATTATTGCCATAGAACCAGAACAGCAAAATGAATCATCCAAGACAAATAGAATAATGTGGACAAAATAATGCAGGCATAGGTTTTGCGTTCCAACTTACGAGTAGATACAAACAGATTACACAATTCCACCCATCCAGATGCAGTAAAATCAAAGTGCATACCAAATACCTGTTTTATTATATAGGTATATCAAGTCTATCAACCAAGGGTTCAATTACCAATTACACATGTACACCAGGGTTTTGGTTCTTGTTGGTTACAAATACAATTCCTGAAGAATCTCTTTACGATATACGTGCTTTATCAATTACACATTTACACACCAGGGTTTTGGTTCTTGATTTTGGACTTCAAAATGTGAGCTGCCTGCAAGTAAATTGGTGAAATAAATAAGCAAGAGTGATTACAATTTGTACCATGATATTCCTATCAAAAAGATGACTTATACTATACAATTAGTTTTTGTAGATCAGTGACTCACACAGGATCAGTTGGTTGACTCTATTTGACTGTTTTTCGCAAAATTTGTAAACCTTTCCAAACCTCGTAGAAGCAGGCTTTCAAGAAAAGGTTGAAGTGCCTGCCAAGTATAAACAACCAGGTGACATTAATGCCCAAGAATGTCCTCCTTAAAGTAAGCTAAGGAAAAGGCAGACATTATAATCCAACAGCAATGAGATATATAAAACACCTATTGAAAGGAGAGATGCTTACTGATGCTACGGGTGATAGAAGTTGAGGAACTTCGTAAGACACAGTCAGCTGTGAAAGAAAAAAAATTTAGGAGAGTCAGTTAGTTTAACTCAACATTATACCTTTTTTTTGGTGTGTAGTAAGGAAGTCAGCAGTAATCAATCTAAAACCTCACTAGAAGACACACAAATAAATCTAATCTTAGATAATGAGAAATTGGTAACTGCCAATGAATGAGCTTCTTCCCAGTTCCCACTAGCAACAGCAGTTCTGCTGCTGTGCCAAACTTGGTATTCAGCTAATATGCATATAGTATTATGAACCAAATGTCCACAGGACTGAAGCATATGAAGAGCTCTTTACAGTAGAGGTTTATGAGGAATACTGGGGAGAAGGGGTCCTTACTTCTATAAGACAGGATGAAGGACCTCTTGGGTAAAATCGAACGGCACCACTGCAATGGAAGAATTATTTCATCAACAATCCATCCGAATACTCACGATATAATTTGGAACTATATAGGACTAGACAGCAGCTTAATTAATTAAGATGCATGCCAATATCAGAATTTACAAGAATTACACATGGATGAAGCGAGCATCTGATTTGAGCATTCCTGTTGCATAAAAATCTCACCTGTTTGGAAGACCTTCCAGAGATCTCCAATGAATTTTTTGATTTGGAATGGGCTGCAGATTTCGAGCAAGCCAAGAGAATTCAATATCACGACCAAATGCTTTATATCTGAGCGTCCATCTTGATTGGTCAGGCTTATCTTCCAACACCTGCTTAAACCTCAAATATTATTTTTGACCTAATAAAACGCCCTTAGACCATGTTCATTAAGTGGGTTCACCAACAAGCTTGGCGCTTTAATCTGGACCAGGCCACTAACAATACCGCAATACTGTAAAATGACAGATGTACTAACTACTACTCTAAAGCATTACAGAATTGAAGAAAGTAAGCAACCTTCACAGATGAAATGAAAGGCATCCACTTAGGAATGTCTTCACGATTAAGGTAGCAGTTATACGCAACAGATGCAGGCACATCAACCTCCTTCTTCACCCTGCATTTCGTTGTCATATTCAATTTAGGATCTTTGGGGATTTTCTTAATTTTATTGAGAAATTCAATGATTCAAAGAAAGAGAGAGAGACAAACGTGCAATCTTGTAATTCCATGACAGGTCGGAAAGGGCGTTTGGAGACAAATCCATTAGGGATTTTGAACAGGAGTTGCGTGCCTGCTTTTGATTTCAAACTAACTTTGCTGCTCATATAACAATCAACCTTCGAATTTGAATTTGATGCTGCCCTCATCAACAAATTAAGCTGGGGACCTGAAATGGAGCTTGGATTTGAAGGTGCTACTATGGATGTTGAAAACATTCTGCTTTTCCAATCCACACCACAAGGACGACGATCTACTGGCTCCTATCGCTCCCTGTCACTTGCCTGTTATTTTTTCCTTTTTCCTTTTCTTTCTTCTTCTTTTTTTTTTTTTTTTTTTTTTGGAGGGGGGTCTACTACATTTCGGATTTCCATGGTTCTACTAAAAATGGGAGAGACGTAAAACGTAAGTGGTGAAAATTCAAACTTAACAAGAGATGGGAAATTAACATCAATTTAAAATACAGCTCCCTCTGTTTCATAATGATGTTCTTACTTTAACTAAATTTGTTTCACAAAAATATTTTAAATAGGAACATCATTGTGGGACGAAGAGAGTATATCCCATCCCATCAACCTTGATAATTCAAACCATTTATTTTTTACTTAGTACTTGTAATAGACTCACTCTCGTAGATTTAGACATGTAGTGCGTGAAATCAAGAGATACATGCAATTAATAAACAAAGATGATGTTGGTTTTAACTTCCTTTTGATGATCGTACCATGTGGTTTATTCTCTCATCTTGAAGAAAGTGCTCAACAAATTAGTACGAATTGTTTGTGAGCACAAATATCAAATTGTTCAACTAATCGTGTTTTTCATTGATTTTGGGTTAGTATGATCAGTTGTTCATCCGAAACCATTTTTGGTGATTGAATATGTTATACTAACATTCTTTATTTAATTCAATACCATTGCTATAAATTAAATCTAGTCGGATGATAGATAAACGGAGTACAAACAAGGCTATGATTTGTGTAGTGCGGATAATTTAATTGCACACCTATTAGTAATATACAAAGGTACAAATTAAAGTACTAGTTATTACAATGTACAAAGAACGTTAGTGAATGAGAACCAAAAACAATAATTTACTCCATATGTTTTGACTTTTAGCCTAGCTTGATCATGGATTAATGTAATCCCAAATTTCAAAAGACACTGCCCACGTAATAAGCAAACAAGCACATACCAACAAATATCGTACCAATATACCATACTTGATAGAACAACGACAAAATGTGTATTATATTGAATGGCCTGGTGACATTAAACTAATTAATAATTCATGTTTCTGCCATCATGGATTTATTTAGATGGCAGAAACATGAATTATAACTTAGGAGGAGGAGCAGGATTGTGACTACTTACGGTGAACCCGCCATCTACCACCAAGTTATGGCCGTTGATAAAGGCGGATTCATCGGAAGCAAAGAATAGAGCAGTCTCAGCAACGTGCCTTGCCTTCAAGACAATTCCCTTTAAGCTAGTTATTGCTGCACAACTTTGCTCAAGTTGACTTGGTTCCATGTTGTATGCATTGCAAGCCAAGGGAGTTGCTACTCCAAAAGGAGATATGCAATTCACACGGATCCCATGTGCACCCAGCTCACTGCTTGCCGCTTTTACCAATCCCACCACCGCGTGCTTTGAGGCCGTGTACGTGCTAGGCCCTACGCCGGCTACGGAGGCCGATACACTAGCCGTGCATATAATGGATCCACGGATCTTTCGGCTGACCATGGCCCGGCCCACATGCTTGATGGTGGCAGCCACCCCCCGGACGTTGATGGCAAGGGTGTTGTCTAAATCGGCCAAATCCAAGTCAAGGATGGTGGATAATGGGCCAATGACACCGGCGTTGCTGAAGAGGATGTCAAGGGTGCCATGTTTTTGTAAGGTGTAAGTAACAGCTTCTTCAACTTGTTTCTCTTCTCTAACATCACAGTGGTAGTAACTGGCTTTGTCTAAGCCTATGGATGCTACCACTTGTTGCCCTATTTCATCTTGGACGTCAGCAACCACTACCAACGCCCCATTTTCTGCGAATAGTTTTGCCGCCTCCTCGCCTATACCACTCGCTGCTCCGGTGATCAAAACAACCTTGCCTTCCAATCTAATAACAGAACATAACAATAAGTACTTAATTATAAGCTAATTAACTACGTACCACCAAATTTAAAGGATATATATAGATAGATGTTAATACAATATAGTACTAGATGCACCAACATGTAAGCAAACATACCTTGGCTTAGACATATTGATTGTATGACTTGATTTCTCCGATGAGATTTCCCCTGTATCACAAATTAATGTTTACAGAAGATCGGATCTATTTTTGCTTGCTTATATTTTTATATACAAACTATATATACTGTATTATATTTGTCAATCTAGGTTGCCCAATACTTCTAATTTATTTTTTACAAAAATTTTGTCCAGCTGCTTAATTTGTGCTGCATTGGTAGGGTGATTATTACTTCGTATTATTTTATTTTACAAGTCAGTAGATTCATTTGTCTTCTTCTTTTCTCTCTTATTGTTGATAATAATTGAGTTCTTGTATATGGAGTAATTACTCCGAATTAAATAGTGTTGTTGTTTTCAAGTGAAGTCGGTTTCAAGTTAACTCCGGGTTGTCTTCAAATCGAATTCGGATAAAAAAAATCTCGAGTTCAACTAGTTCGAAAATAGTTCAGTTTCAGGTAAACCTTTCGGGTCGGGTAAGTTTTTAACATCCCTAATTTTTTCCAAGCAAGATTGCTACTATATATATATTTTAATTATTTTAATAATAATCAATGTTATTACGATATGATAATTGTAATGGTTTATTTAATTAGGCTTAAAAAGTCAGCTTCAAGAACAATATGTATGTGCACATACAATAAACTTTATTATATCCCTATGTAAGTTGAAGCCATTGCCCAAAACAAAAAAAATTTCCTGTAATGAAAATCACTCTGCTGTGATGAAAAAATCATCTCAACATGCCATTAAATATAATACTCTTAAAAAGGAGGGGGGAATGAACTAATGAAGTATGTAAATAAGAGAAAATTATATTTGTATAAATCACTGATTTTGAATCCTAATTCTTTTAAAAAAAAATATATATATATTCAATTATTGTCGGCATAAATTGTTGCACATGGGCTTGTAATACGTTGCACACTTGCACCTAACTAACGTAGAGCATTTCTATATAATTGTTGAATAGGTCACAAGACTCACAACTTATCACGTGTCACGTGGTACCATGAACTCCGCAGTACACTACTACTCCGTGTTATCTTACCACCTTGCTTCCAACACTACATTATACTACTCCGTAGTCCGTATACGAATATCGTTGAATCGTTCTCAATCTTGAATATTTATCACCAAAAGTGTTGGGAGATTAGGTATGGCCTAAAGCTGGTTGGGCTGAAGTTATAGGTCCAAGAAATGTGGTCCAATCCAACATAATCTTTAGCAAAAGATGGGCAATAGTCCAGTAGATAGTTGATGAAAAAGGAGGGAAGTTGGAAGGGGTTGAAGGTGCGTCAGCAGTGGGGGGGTGGGTTAGCAGCAGAAACAAAAAGTAGGTGGCAAGAAAAGATAGTAAACACGTTGGAGAAATATCAAACACTTGGAGTATCGGTCAGTCTAAACACCCATTCATACTCTCTACTTAATTTATGAATCAATGCTTATATTATGCAAGTACTAAATTATAAGGACTGGTAAATTTCAAGTCCTAAATTATCACTTTTATAATTTAATTAATGACCAAAGCAGATAACATGATAAAATTGGGAATTGAAAAGTGAAAAAGGTGGGTGGGTGATGGAAGTGGTGCATTGGTACAGCGTCGTTTCAGTGGTTATTGTAGTAACTGCAGCATTTGGCTCCGTTTATGTGCTGTGGAGGAGGAAGCACTACACACAACCTGAAATTGGAATCAAGAGGAGGTGGTTGTATGATGGTCTTCTACTCAATAATAATCCTAGTAGTCAACATTATTGGACCAGCTGCTGGAGTGGATTTCATCCTGCTTACCTTCTTGTCTTTCGGCTGCTCTCTTTATTTTCCCTAGCTTTCTTCTTAGCATGGGATATCCATCACTGGGGTCCTTCCATCTTTATCTATTACACCGAGTATGTTTTACTTCTTTATTTGCTCTTTTCTCGATCCAATTCATATACCCAGGCCACTATGTTAGTATCTAACTCTAATGCTTGATTTGCAGGTGGACTTACTCTTTGACTATGATGTACTTTGCGGTATGTAAATTGATTTACTAATTTCTGCTGACAGATTCAATCATAAATTCTACTGATACTGAACAATAACAGATAGGGAGTGTTATATCTGCTCATGGTTGCTGGTTATTACATAAACATAACAAGAATGACAGCCCTTGCTTAGAAGAGTCTCCAGGAAGAGGAGCACTTGATTTTGAAGATATTCCAACAGCAACAACAACATTAACATTGGATTCGAATCATGGAAAACAGCACTGCTATTACCCATCACAAACCCCTGGATTTTGGGGATATTTTATGCAAATTACTTACCAGGTTGATATACCTCTATTATAAATTTGAAAACAGTATACAGTACAGTAATCCATATTTAATCATACCATTTCAATTCAAGTAAATTTGCAGATAAGTGGAGGTGCTGTTATTTTGACTGACATTATATTTTGGTGTATTATTGCCCCTGCGTCTTCAAATACACGCCTTGGCTTGACCCTGGTCAGTCCTTACATTTTACTTGATTCAATTCCTCAAGCTTCTCGTTTAAATGATTGAATATGTACTTGTATATATATGGTGTTTCACTGTTATATATGTTCTACTTGATTAATTGTACAGCTGATGGGATGCATCCATACTGTGAATGTGGCCTTTTTGCTTCTCGACACTTGCATTAATCGCCTTGTGAGTTCTATTGCTTAATCAATTCAATGATCGATCTGCTGACATACATGGACTATGTTTCTGTTTGTAACTTGATGAATTGGTTGCTAAAATTGAGTGCAATAAACAGACATTTCCTTGGTTCCGGCTTGCTTATTTTGTGCTGTGGAGCTCAGCATATGTCATCTTTCAATGGCTCATCCACCTCTGTGGTTTCACTTGGTCAGCACTCGATTCCTTATTAGCTTCACTCATTCATTTCCCACCGCAGCCCATCTATCTTATCTACAGTATTTATTATAGAGTAGTAATCAACATAACTTGGTTGTTGTCATTTCTTGAGCTTGATTACATACATTTCAGGTGGCCATATCCTTTTCTAAAGCTGTCAACACCTCTGGCTCCTCTCTGGTAAGGGATAGCTAGTGTAAATGTATCACTCTTGTATATTCTTTATTATCTTAGCATAAATTGATATGATGCACTATGAGTACAACATTATTGCCTTGCATCCTGTAATATCTTTTGATCAAACCATGGCTTTATGTATATTGCAGGTATCTGGTCCTAGCTGTATGTCACGTTGTTTGTTACGGGCTGTATGCATTAATCGTGCGAGGGAAGGATTTGCTCTTCTCCAAATTATTTCCACATTCATACATTAGATCATAGTATTAATTCAGCTACCCTTCTATTGTTCTTCAAGAGATTTGGAGGGTTATATACTTATATGTACTCTACTTTCTACTTATATTCGGAATTAAAGATGAGATTGATCGATTCTCATATTTAGCTACAAGTTGAAGTATTATTTTCAGTATTGAACTGTATCACTGATTCTCTATATCTCAATTAAATGAAATGTTTTCAGACATGGAGGAATGAGAAAATCTGTTTTTTAAATAAAAAATTTCGCCATTCCAAATAGAGCAGGCAAGTAGGCATGTCACTTGTGTGAAACGAATAATACAAGCAAGAATGTTAAATTAGCTATTGATTACATCCTCCAATGATACAATAATAAGATTAAGCAGCTAAATCAGTTAGCCAATCAGCTATAACAGATTAATATGGCTGGTCATGCAATTACATTTTCTGCTTTGACTATTTGACTAGTAGCGTGTAAAGAACTAAGCAGTAATCAGTAAGTGTAATTCATTTGTTATTAGGAAAGTTAATAGAACTATTTTTACGGGAGCCCATTAACTTGCGACTGCCGCAAGGAAGGGTCTGTAGCATTCTTTATATTCTTGATTGTAAAAAAAAAAAAAACCAAACAAAACAATCTGAAAGTAAAAAATATAACTGCCAGGATTTTTTAGGTAGGTGTAGTGGTATACTGGTATTTAATAATGTTTTTGGTAGCACGTTAGAGCATGTTTATTGTGTTGTCATAGTGAAATTATGTAGTACTCCGGAAAAAAACATGGTGACATATAAAGTGTGCTATTGAGTGCGGTGGTTGGATAGTGTACTTACTTCCCTCACCCCTTAATTGATTTATCATCGCTCACTCAACACTCCCTAACTAAACCTATTTGGGGGTATACAGGAATACCAGTTTGGACTAGTAGATATATAGCTCACGAAAGTTTTTTGATTTTTTTTTTTTTTAACTAGGATTGTCTTATACAGTAGTTAATACGAGTAGAGAATTCAAAATGCTCTTCTCAGGAAAAATATTACACAAATCCCGTGGAAGAATTGAACAATACAAACATGGATATATATACTTTATTCCTAGCAAAATTTTAGATAAGTGTAGCCTTGTAGTAGTATCCCGTACGATTTATTAATTATGTTGGGCGTATGTTAAATAATTAATGGAGTACGTATATAATTTGTTTGGGTCCAATTCAGTCATTCTAATTGGGCCGGTCAAAATGATTTAATGACAAAAGCCCAAAGCAAGGCTTAACTCTCCAAAAGCATGCTAAGTCAGCCTAACTCAGTCAGCATTGCAAGCCCATTTGACTTCAGGGCCTAATTTACCTATTTTGAGCAAAGGTATAAAAGCCTTCAACTGTCTCCTCTTACGTGGATTCAAGACAAACCTCAAGCATAAAATTCTCTTGCATAGCTTTCTTTCTCAATACACTGAACTGACTTTAGCATCGGAGGGGTCTTCTTCAGCACAACCCCCGAGGCTAATTTACGTGTGTTTGCTATGTAGGAAATCCTCGGTCCAGTCTCCACTTGGACCGAGATCAGTCTTCTCTCACCGAAAACGGCTTGCCGAAGGTCCTATTGTTTTCATACCGAAACAGAATTATTAGCTACACGGTGAAATCTTCTTTATAAGTACAATCTGATTAGATGTTAATGGTGGTTGTAATTTGCTAATTATAGTATCATAATGGACGGACAAGGGCATGGGTTTTCTAAGAATTACAAGTTACTTGTACTAGAGAACTAGACTAATCTTTATAAAACCCCACCAACCACAACTGAGTTTAGAAATTAGAACCTGATGCCACCAATCATCTCCTCCAGTAAATTATTGTAGTCTGTAGATGTACTGTATGTTGGTCCCAGTCTCATGAGTCTCAAATTATCAATTAATCCTAATTCTGTTTCTTAAATCCCAAAAGCAAAGGAAAAAAGATACAGAGCTCAAAGATGAGTGTTGATTACTGGATGAAATGGCAAGTCCCTGTTTGTGGATTGATTATTGTAATCCCAGCTGCAGTTGCGATCAATCTGATCAAGAAAAGAATCAGAAATGGAGAAGATGAAACCCAGAATTTGAAGCAGTCTAAATTAATATTATGGGTTCCTTGCTGGAGAAATCTCAACCCCAAATGGCTTCTTCTCTACAGAGCTTCAGCCTTTATTACAATGGCGTACCTTCTCTACCAGATGATTCTTTTTTCTGGCCTTTTTGCTTTCTATTTCTATACCCAGTAAGTCAACTACTATCTCTCTTCAATCTTTCTTCTTATATTTGTGCTATCTAAATTATCATTTTTCCTTTCATATAAATTGTTTTTTAATTTCTTGCCAAATAATACCTATTACTAAATTTTTATGCTGTGCAGTACTCAACTTTTTGAAAAATCCTTCCTTTGGGTTTGAGCTAAATATCGATTTCATTGACTCATCTGCAGGTGGACATTTGCATTGGTTATGGTCTATTTTGCGGTATGCCCCTGCATAATTCCCATTTTATATTGTTGTACAACCTGTTTTTACAACCTTATTAGTTATTACCTAATATGGATGCACTTAGAATACCTAGAACTCTTTTTTTTTTAATGCTTCATCGTTCATGTAGATTGGGATCATCATTTCTGCCCAAGGATGCTTTATGACATCTACAGAGAAAGGACCAGCAAGAAGTGCGGAGAAAGACAAATTTCTGAAAAATGGTTCAGATAGCAGCAAATCTGCTGCTGCTTTGGGTTCAAAGAAGGGAGAAGGCAGCAGTAGCTTGCAAAATCATGACAGTAATGATGAAGCTCAAGGAGTCGGATTCTTAGGGTCTCTTATGCTAATTGTTTACCAGGTGAGTTTGTTTGCGCCTTGCCGGATGAAACTGTTTGATTTTGATGCAATTGCTATACTGCTAACATTTCAGTTATATCTGCCTTTTTGCAGCATTACATTTATTAGCTAACCCCTCCTTATCCCCCTTGTACCTAATGTCATTTGAGCAAATAAATATAGCTTCTAATTCATCTAACAGCAAAATTTAGTTGTTATGCCCTTCAGTCTTTATGTTCTTGCTATTGGTTGTAAGTAATGTAACTCATCCTGTTCTTGATCCTTCTATCAGATTTCTGCAGGAGCTTCAGTGCTTACAGACTTAGTTTTTTGGTGTATATTGGTGCCAATGATGGCAGGAAAACAATTTGAGCTTACCTTGGTGAGTGCTTTAATTATCATAGTAGAGCTATTGGTGTGAAATGGTTTTTAAAATAGAATTCCTACTCACTCATTATAGGAATACACTGATGTCGTAGTATGCATATATTAGCATTATATACTTACGAGACAAACATCTTAATAACATACCACCATAATTCATGAAATCATGAATCCAGAATCAGCAATGTTGTATTTTTAACTTTCTCAAGTTTTGCCTGGCTCTGCCCATTTAACTATAGAGTATGTTTGGATTGAAGGAAAGAGAGGGAAAGGAAGGGAAGCGAAGGGAAATGGAGAGAGTATCTTTCATTTGGATAATAATTTAAGAATGAAGAGAATTGGAGGGGAGAGAAATGAGGGATTAAATTCTAAAAAAATGATCCCTCCAACAATAGAGAGGTTTGGAAAGAAAACTCATCAATCTTCCTCCCTTCCCTTCCCTCCCCTTCTTTTCCTTCCCTTAACATTACCCAAACAAACTGTTAGTCTAGTGTGACTACTGATCACTAACATCATTTAATACTCCTGCAGCTGATAGGATTTATTCACTCACTGAATGCAGTCTTCCTGGTCATTGATTCGCTTCTTAATGCACTTGTAAGTAGCATCATACTTCCTGTTATTGGTGCTCAACTACTTGTGCCTTTTTAAAGAGGTGGATTAGCTAATTTATTTTCTGCATCTCAGCCATTTCACTGGTTTGGGTTTAACTATTTTATACTTTGGAGCGTCACATACATCACATTCCAGTGGATTCTTCATGCCTTTGGTTTCACATGGTATTTTCATTTCTCCTGATTGATTTCATAATCTCTTTCAATTCATATGTTTATATGTTATAAGTCGAGTCATTTAACAATAGAGTTTGGTGCAGGTGGCCTTATCCCTTTCTAGAGCTCTCAACCCCATGGGCACCTCTATGGTAACTAAAGCAAACTCCCTTCTCTAAAACTGTGTTTGAATGTTCACTGAACAGAGAAGTATTTCATAATATGTACTTGTTTGCAGGTATCTCGGAATGGCTTTCATCCACGTTCCTTGTTATGGTGTGTACATAATGTTGGTGAAAGCACAGAAGTCTATTTTTTCTAAGCTGTTTCCGCAAGCATTTGTCAGGTTATACTTACTTACCTGATTACATGTAATATAAACCTTATTGCTACGGAGTAGTAAACAAGATACAATTTCGCCAATTATCACTTTCCATGGTTATACATTTTCATAAACAGCTGCTGTGTTACAGATCACATCAATGGATATCACCCCACCAAAAAGCAGCCTGACCTCTGAGGTACTAGAGTGAAGTAGTCATATAGCACAGTGAAAAGTACTCCAATTTGGACACCACCAACATATGCTTCAAATATCCCAGAACTTATGAAGCATATAAAGATTGGCAGTTCATATGCAAGCATTGTGCTTACTAGCTTGTATATGTGTTAGTAATCAAACTCTTATATACATGCCTGGTACATTTATGTCGTGATCAAACGACTACAAAACAATGTAAGCTTTGGTGAACTCTTGAGATGTATGCAAGAAATTGTAAGCATCTTTACCCTAAAACAAAACTAAGATTAGTCAATTAACTACCAAAAGAATGGGAAGAATGTGGCAGCATTATCAACTACTCCATAGCTACTCGCATATGATAAGAAGGCTGGGAAAGTTCTATAGATTACTATAATCTTATTAATAGGCGATAATAATATTTCTATGATCTTCCAGTATTCTGTTCATGGAAAAGGTTAGTTTCATTGAGAAAATCTTTTATGGTCAATTCCATTCTTTAACCACTTAAAATAATTGATGTACTCCTGAGTCCTCAACCTAGTTTGCCCGAAGCCTTACCGAGGGATTAATAGTACCCAATGACTTTTCATTTCATTTAGAATGTGCAGAGAACTATATACCACTGGTGTTTGCTTCAAATTAATGCTACAGTACCCAATGACTTTTGTCGCAGAGGATGTGCTCAAGGATCCTTCTCTTCACTTGAAGAAGGCGACATAATAATAATGGTAATATTTCTGATGTGGTCTACTCTGATCATATTCGACAAGAATAAGCGATACTTAATAGATAGAGTATGAAGCCTATCGGTGCATAAACTGTGCTTAAAGCTCTACTACTGTCACAGTGGTTTTAAAGCTTAATCAAAGGCTTCTGGATACAAGTAGTCACCCCCCCTCCCTCCACCCAACTCAAAATGTTGAATAAACCAACTAAAACGAAGGCTTGCTCTAAAGATTGACATAAGCCGATCAGATACCCTGCCCAAATAAAGCTTAAAGTTTGATCCTTACCAAATCAACACCACATTCTTTCCTTCAGAGTTCAGACCCTGTTGGCAAACTAAACTTCAAAACATATGCCCAGAAGTGTAAACTCTCAAGACTAAACAATGTTAGCTAAAAGCCTAAAACTTATTCAATAATAACGGCATAACTCTCAAGAGTTAAGGAGAATTTCATCACAAATTAAAAAAAAAAAAAAATAGAGCAGGGCAATTCACTGTAGAATTGTTTGCTTCATAAATTAAACCAATATGTACCAAAAAGCGTCAAGTAGCATAAACAAGCTAATAATATCCAACATTAGTTTGTAATTCTAAAAGATAAACTCAAATCCCCCAAATCCTCAGCAAAAAAGACAATGTCATTTCAACATTCGATTAAATCAAAAGCTGGAAAATTAAGAGCAAAAAACAAGTCCATAATAAGATTCAAAATTGCCCAAAAAGATAACTATTATTAATGGACGGAGAATCACTCGGCGGCGGGCTTCTGGTAAACGTAGGTGAGACCACACTTACCACAGTAGTGACGATCAAAATGGTTAGCCATAAAAGTACCGGCACCACAGTCAGCATTAGGGCACTCCTTCCTCAACCTCTGAACCTTGGCAGAATCATCAACCTTGTAAAACTGAAGAACAGCGAGCTTAACCTTCTTCTTCTTGTGCTTGATCTTCTTGGGCTTTGTGTAAGTCTTCTTCTTCCTCTTCTTAGCACCACCCCTGAGACGAAGCACCAGGTGAAGGGTCGACTCCTTCTGGATGTTGTAGTCGGCGAGAGTGCGGCCGTCTTCAAGCTGTTTTCCGGCGAAGATGAGACGCTGCTGGTCTGGAGGGATGCCTTCCTTGTCTTGGATCTTAGTCTTCACATTGTCGATGGTGTCTGAGGATTCAACCTCTAGGGTTATTGTTTTCCCAGTTAGGGTTTTCACGAATATCTGCATCCTCTCTCTCTCTCTGTGGAGGAGGTTTTACCCTTTAGGATCCGGCGCACTGCATTCCCAAATGCCCTATTTATATACCAACTGCTCTACCAATTACCATATTATTCTATACGGGTCTTCACCCAGTACGGTTCTTCCAATTTAATTTCACTCATTTTTTGGAAAAGTTAATTAAATATTAACAAGCTCATGTGTGGTTAGACCTATCCGTTTTTCGTGTTAATTATCAATTTAGTCCATTACATACAAGACTCTCATAATTTTTGTTTTTGAAGACAGACTCTCATAGTTAACTCAAGGTCATAATGGCCTTTTTTCTGGCCGAGTAATGGATATATATATGGTTCTAAATAATATTTTATTACCCCGAGATGCAAACCCCATCTTCATTTGATTATCTGACATCATGTCCAGATATATTAGAAAATACAGAGTAGTTTTTTTAAGTTATATTTGAAAATAGATTAAAAGCATGAATTATAGCCGTCATTTTTGTAGAATTCTCAAAAAATTTAACTTAGAAAATACGAGTCGAAGTGTTTCTCAACCCTACAAAATTGTTGGAGGTCACTTGAGTGGTTGGAACCATTTGTTTCTTCTTATAACTACTCCACATTAATTTAGTCGGCTACTTACACGCCTCTCATCAATAACCTCAAAGGACACTTGACCTTATTATAGTCAAAATTACTTCCTCCGCTTTTAAATGTAGGTTTTAACTTAATTTAATTAATTGAGTTTTCAAACAAAGATTGATTTTTTTTTTTTTTTTTTTTTTTTTTTTTTTTTACTAACTAAACAAAGAAGGTTAATGGAGTAGTTATGCTTTGATGGGTACGGTAATTAACCTGAACAACCTTTTTTTTTTACCAACAAAAGTTGGGCCAAAACAATAAAAGAGGAGTTGTGGGTAATACGGAGCAGCAAACAGAAGCGGCATTTGCTTCTTCGAACTGGGACTGGGACTGCCGAAGAATGGAGAAACGTTGCAAACATTGGCTGCCCAAGAAGAACAGATTCTGTGCAAATACTCCCTTCAATGATTCCCCGTAAGTATCCCTTAATTAAACCCCTCTTTGTACTAATCTTCTTAATTGATATTGTTATTTGATTCTGCAAATTATAACTTGTAACAGATTCTGCGGGAATCATAGCAGTAGGTCCAATGGAAAGTGGATTCCATGCTCAATCGACCCTTCTCAGTAAGAAATTAATACACTACTATGTTTTGTCATGCCCATTGTTCTCTATGCTTTTATATTTATATTGTTTTTGTTGAATTTGTGAAAGTTGTGTGCTTGAAGAAAACATGGAGGGACACCTTAAGAAATGCCCATTATTGAAACAATCACAGACTTTGTCACTCCAACCTTATTACCAAAAAGGAATTAATCAACAGCAACAAGATGCTGACTTTACTTCTGAGATGAAGCGAAATTGGGTTTATAATTTGAGTATTCCTCAATTTTCTTACTTACTCTCCAAGATCCGCTCTCTTCATACTTTAATTTGTAAGGATATAGAGCTTTCTTATAGGATACCTCATGCCTGTGATGTCTGGATTAAGAGACAGAATGACAGGTATGTGCTTCTCTGTCTTCTTTTTTCGTGTTTCACTGAATCGAATTTATTTTTGTATGCATAGATAAATGCTGTTGGTTTGATTGGTACACTTGATTTGTTTGTGCTTTAAGGAAATTGCCATACCAAGAGAAGCATGTCCGCCAACAGGCGTCGATTCTTGGCAACTTGGAGGATTTTGGGGTTTTGTCTGAGCAATACTGTCAATCTGATCTCTCTGCTGTTGTTGAGTTTGGAGCTGGCAGGGGTTACTTAACCCAGATATTAGCTGATTCTTATGGGATCAATAAGGTCTATTTGGTTGAGCGTAAGGCATACAAGCTCAAGGTCAGTGTACATTGAAACACTTCTTTATGCTCATATAAGATGTAACTAAACTCATTATATTTATGCTCATATATCTTAGTATCTTCAACTTTAGGCTGATCGAAGTCTACGACAAATAGACAACTTAGCATTGGAGCGTTTGAGAATCGACAGTAAGGTTTCCTAAAACCTCATGTCTGGTTTTTTAAGGCCTTTATCCTCGTGTGAGCTATGTTATGTTTTTGTATAGTAACTTATTGTTGCATTACCTAGAAATATCCTCTTCTGAGCTTTGTTGCATTACCTAGAACTGTTGCTGAAGTGGCATTAACCTAATTTTCATTGTGGAAATGTCTTTGAGAAGAGCTTATTAACCTGTATCATTATTAATACTGCTCTTTTTTTTCTTTTTCTTTGGGGTTCAGCATCCTGATGATTTACTTAATCCCCACCCTTGCACCTAGAGGGCCAGAATAACACGTAGTACATTTACTATTTTCTTAACAGTTTGGGTACCCGGCAGTACCCCTATGCGGCAGTCATGCCTAAGCATTCACAACTTTCTCCTAATCTTGAGTTTTCCCTCTTCACATGTAATGTTTTCATGGTAATCAGGACTACGATTTTATTCTTATACTTCGTATAACATAATGAAGTCAAGATACAATTGAGAAGATCTGTAATAAACTCGATGTAATTGTAAATAATTCAAGAGAATCTAAGATTGAATTTGGGATTCAATTGATTGATATGAAATTCTGATTACAAGAAGAGGAGTAGATTGAAGCTAAAACTCTCCTGGATAGTAGATAGTAACTTGAGGTTACAATTCTTACAAATCTTCCAATGCTAAGCAGTGTCGAATCACATTATCTCCTTCTCTCTACACATTTCCTATATATTACAAGAGCCCTAGGTGCCAAAATGTCCCACTATTCGTTGAAGGTTTGAAGCTGGTAAGTACCAGCACGACTGCACCTTAATTAGTTACTGCTGTCTTCTTCTCCCATGTTATCCTCTTCCCCCAATGGTTGTGGCAGCAGCATGTCTGTCTTCTCCTTGAGTTGCTTTTAACTTGCCCCTTCTCTTGTATTGGAAGTGTATAGGTAGCTTAGTGGGTTCATTACAAGATCTCCGCTTAATAATTTACTCCCTCCGCTTCATATTGCTCTTCCTACTTTGACCTAGTTCATCTCACAAAAAGATTCTAAATAGGAAGAATTATATAAAACGGAGGGAGTAATACTTTTCTGAAGCATTGTGCTGAATTTAATGTTTAGCTGTTGTAGGATTATTAGAACATTAGATAGTGCTATATGTTGTCTGTCATAATTGCCTCTTGACGCGTATCGATGCTCACTGATGCAGTTGAAGATTTAAATCTGGATGCTGTTGAGTCTTTGAAAGGAATACCTTACTTGGGGATTGGTAAACATCTATGTGGACCTGCTACAGGTGCATAATCTAATTTCATTTGAATTATTATAAGCAATTACCATTCACTTAGATACAAGTCAGCCTTCTTGTATAGCAGATCCCTTTTACCCTTTCACCCTACCCTTCCTGAAAAACAGAAAAAGGAGGGAAAGAGGAACATGCTGAGGAGTTGAATGACTTGAATTGCAGTGAGCTTACAATGTGTGGCGTAGTGCAGATTTAACCCTTAGATGTTGTCTTGGTGAACATCCTGATCAAGATAATGGGAAAGAGCAATCTGTTCGTCCTCACCTCAGAAGCATTGCTGTGGCAACTTGTTGCCACCATCTATGCCAGTGGAAACATTACACAAGTAACTTACTGTAATTAGTTTTTTTATTCTTCAATCCTATACCCTTTGAGCTATATCTTATTAATCCTCAACTGAACTTTGTTTTTCTTTCCTCACACTTGCAGATAAACAATACTTAAGTAATTTAGGAATCACTAAAGAACATTTCCATGCTATCACATGGTTTACCAGTTGGGCAGTTGATGCTGATCATGGATCAGATGTTTCTGATGACGGCTCTTTGCAATCTCCTGTGCCACCTAGGTAAAATATTTAGTATCTTTGAATGTTAAACCTACCCCCCACCCCCTCTTTTTTCTCCAGCTATATCTTTCCCTGTATGAAGCCCGCTAATGAGTAACAGGCTGTTACTTTCTACTTATTTCAGTTATTTGTACCTGTATTAATAATTATAATAAAGTTTTCTAGCTCGAGGAATCAATTTAATAAAGTTTTATACTACGTATGTATGTAGCTATTATCCTGGTGAAAAGAGCATGCTCTAATTTCTTCAATCCATTTTGCCCTTATTTTTTTATACAGTATAAATTTTTCTGACAGTTCTCTGCTTTTATAGTGATAATGATGAGAATGGCGGAGATGCTAGTGGAGTTGAAGATTATACAAGGAACATGAAAGCAATGGATAGAGCGGCGTTGGGGTTCATGTGCAAGGATATCATTGACATGGGGAGGTTAATGTGGATTAAGGAATGTGGACTGGAAGCTAAACTTGTCAAGTATGTCCCATCAGATATTTCCCCTGAAAATCGTTTACTTATTGCGAAGGCAGAAATACCAACTACAAATTAACCCTACACCACTGAACTAATGGAGGGCTTGCAGAAGACCAATTTGAAGAAATGCATGGAACTCATGACTTTGCTTGGTTGGTGTAGTGATATAACACGCATTAATAGGCCAAAATAGTGAAGCCATGGCATAACAAAATCTTGATTTTGAAGAAGCATGATATCTTTTAAGTTTTAAACTGGGCCAAGATAGTAAAATTGCTGTTATGTCGAGTGTGACTGGATGATGCAAAGTTTTGTTGTTCAATCGTGGTTGTTTATATACCATGTTTACCAGCATTTGACATGGGGTAATTCTGTTTTTGTTTTAGTAATATCAATTACCTATTGTTATCATCCAACGCTTGCAAATACTTAAAAATAGTCTACATTTAAAACAAAGTCAACATTAATTTTATACCGATTTTCTGGGCTTTTCACAGTTCATTGGTGCAGTGGTTTGTCTAGTTCATTAATCTGAAATCTGTCAATGTCATTTCTATAATTCTATGTAGTGATAGAGCTGAGTGAGCTAATAAATCATGCATTCGTGCCTGGTCAAACAAAAACCAAGGTAGCTGAGTGGTTGATGCATGTATGTAGGTGTGAACACAAAAGTGATATCTGTAACAAAGTAGATTCTCTCCTAAACCAAATGATAAGATCAGCAACTAATACAGTATCAGAATTGACTGCAAAATGCCAAAATGTAGACGCTAAACAAGTTCAGATGCATTCCATTATGCTGATGTGCTTTTAATTTTTTATACTTCTTCCGTTCTTTTTTTTATTGCATTATAGGGGTTTTGGAGGCAAAATTTGGTAATGGGAAAAAGTAAGAGAGAGAAACGTAAAAATGCAAAATTGTCTATGTAATGTAAAGAAAAAATAAAAAGTAAGGGCATGTTGAATATTTGTACTGTGAATATAGATATTTTTTGTCTTAAAATGAAAGTGGTGCAATATTTATGAAATTTCCCTAAAAGGCAAGTGATGCGATATCAAAAGAACAGAGAAAATATAAAGGTGGCTGCTTTTGTTGAATTTGACCGGACATGCAGATTATAGATGTTGAGAAGAAAGCTGGATGGTTTCCTAAAACAAAATACAGTATAAAACTACTCCAATAATAATAATAATAATAATAATAATAACAAACCCCATATGGACATGTATAAGTGTATAACTGCAAATTACATAGGGTTAAGCAATATTCTGCAAACTAAAGATGCTCATCGTTTGATGTTCTTTCTCATTCAGAACATCATTTTATATTTGCTGTAATCCCACCTGAACATCCACCATCCAAGTGAAACTTTAAAAAAATACGAAGTATAAAATTAAAAAAAATTAAAAATTGGAGATGCGGTGGATCGAACCCCTCATGCAAAGCGAGCGTACTACTGTTTGAGCTACGTCCCCTTCTACAGTATCGTATTCTTTTGGATTATCCCATCCGTCCATCCGAAGATAACATAAAATTTTCAGTGAAAAAGCTAAATTGCTACGTCATGTCTTACGCACCATTAGCCCCAAAAACTAAAGCACAGATAAAACGACACATAGTGATACTGTAGTACATACAGTATAAATACCTACAATACTTGAACACCAACTTCACAGTTGAAAAGCTACACTTCCAATCCTCCCAAATCACCTTACCAAATCGTCACATAAGTACGGAGTCCTAATCAACTTCCCCTTGTTTGCAAATGGAATCCTCACCCAACCCTGGTGGCACCATCATCTTCTCCACCGTCGGCCGCACTGATTACGGCTTTGATATCTTCTCACTCCCCCTCCATCACATCTCCCTTGACACCGAGCACCGCCTTACTGACGGTACCTCTGTCAACTTCAACGGCCATTTCGTAGACGACGACAACTCCCTCGTCTTCATTTCTGAACGGACTGGATGTCCTCGGGTTCACCTCACCCGACCCAATTCAACCAACCCGCCGGAGCAACTCCCCTCTGCACCGGGAAGCCTCTTTCATGATCGTCCAATCCTCCACGGCAACCGCCTTTTCTTTGTCTCAGCTCATCAACCTTCCGATTCTCTCTACAAAAGTTGGTCTGCTGTTTATTACTCAACCTCTGTTAATGAAAATCATAACCAAAATACTGATTGTGAGATCAATCGATTGACCCCACATGGTAGTGCCGATTTCAGTCCTGCTATTTCTCTCTCCGGAAACTTCCTTGCTGTTGCCTCTTATGGCTCTAAACCTTGGGGCGGTGACTTCCAGGTGCTCAATACTCAGATTGTCGTTTTCCCAGTATCGGACCCTGCTAAACGCAGCGTTTTAGCTGACCATGGTGGCTGGCCCTCTTGGTCCGGCGATTCCACTCTCTACTTTCACCGTCAATCCGAAGACGGCTGGTGGAGCATTTACCGGGTTGATTTCCCCGCCACTGAATCTCCACGCCGGGTCACTCCCCCGGGTGTCCACGCTTTCACTCCCGCCGCAATGCACAACAGCACCAACAAAATCGCCATTGCAACTCGTCGGAAGGGTAGAGTTCATCGACATATTGAGCTTTTCGACACCGAGTCAGGGGAATTCCAACCGATAACAGAGTTGATAAACCCGGAATTACATCATTTCAACCCATTTATATCCCCCGGGTCAAAGTTCATCGGGTACCACCGATTCCGAGGAGATTCAAAACAAGGAGACAAACTAATCCCGAACCTAGAACCAGTTGTTTCTCCCATCAAATCCCTGTCAATGCAGAGAATCAACGGTTCATTCCCTTGTTTCTCCCCTGAAGGCGACCTTATCGCATTTAATCCAGACTTCGAGGCAAACGGAGGGCTCAAAATCATGAAATCAGACGGCTCAAAGAGGTGGACACTGATTCAAGGACGTGTAGCCTTCTACAACTCCTGGGCCTCATGCTTAACAGATGAGAAGAAGCACGTTATCTTCACTTCCTTGGGTTCAATCTTTCAGCCCGCCAAAGTTTCCGTCCAAGTAGCTCGTATTACCTTTGATGCTTCCGCCCTTGACCCTCACTGTTCAACTGTACAGAATGCTGAGATTAAGATCATCACCAAGGAGGAAACCGGCAACAATGGTTTTCCGGCGTGTTCACCTGACGGAAAATTGGTAGTTTTCCGATCAGGAAGGTCGGGCCACAAGAATCTTTACATAATGGATGCTGTTAACGGAGAAGTTGACGGGGGTAACAATGCTCGTCAGTTAACGGAGGGAGCATGGATTGATACTATGCCCAGCTGGTCACCTGATGGACAGGTCATTGCTTTTTCTTCAAACCGGCATGACCCGAGTAACCCGGTAACCTTTGGGATATACTTGGTTCGGTCAGATGGATCGGACCTAAGAAGAGTACACGTGGAAGGGTCAAATGATGCAAGCTTGGAGAGAATAAACCACGTGTGCTTTAGCCCCAATGGAGAATGGTTGTTGTTCACCACCAACATGGGTGGGGTTACGGCGGAGCCACTTAGTTTTCCAAACCAATTTCAGCCATATGGGGATTTGTTTATTGTCAAGGTGGATGGAACTGGATTGAGGAGGCTGACGTGTAATGGGTACGAGAATGGGACACCTGCATGGCACGCTCGGGGAGGGCTCGATGTTTTGTCCCTTAATGCGTATACTGAGATGGATGGTGATGAATTAAAAGGTCAATTTGATGAGCCAAAGTGGATTACTTTTGATTTTTAAGGTGAAATCACAACTCACAAGCCATCTAAACATGGTTAGTGACAATAAAATTAAAACAAAATATAAAATTGTACTGGGGAATTATAAAATAAAATGACCTTGGTTGTGGGTTATTTCTTATTATCTCTATTCATTGTCTTTTTAGAGTATCAAAAAGGTACATTGGGTAATTTGTTTGTTTATAAGGATCACCTAATTTTGTAGATGTCTTATTATCTTTTTTTTTTTTTTAAAGAAATAATTTCATTAATGAATAGCCATACGACATCTATAACAATAATAAAGACTTGAAAACCACAAATTTAGAGAAATTAACATAACTTTTACAATCAAATTCATAATTAATTTGCATATTTGGCATAACTCACACTCCACCGCTTCAAATTTAGAGAAATTAACATAACTTTTACAATCACCTAATTTTGTAGATGTCTCATTATCATTATAGATAGATATTTAAATAAACTATATACGTATTGATTTAAATAATACAGAGTACGAATAGGATTTACTTCTACTCCTACTAGATTTACATTTGACAATTACATATTGGCAGATTACTAATTTCCTATGATTGACATTCATTCCTTCCCATTAAGAGGTTTTTGTAAATTTTAAGCCTTTTAAATAAATTTTAAAATTAATTTTGGAGTAGAGAGAGCTCTAATTATGTACTTGAAAACAAATTCATATTTTTAATTTAAGATGTTGGTAAGATTTTGGCAGTTTAAATATGAAAAATATATAGCGAGATAAGGATATGGTCTGTTCTAATTTCATCACTTCATGAGTTGCCTTATAGGGCAACAACAATTGTTGTAGAATCAGAGAGCATTTCTCCCAACTTTCTTTACTCCTTAAAATTTACACAAACAATAATATGAGATATTGAGAATTTGGGATGAGATACCTTATATATTAAAAAAATAAATAAAAAATACAAGGTTTACATGGTATGTGACGCTCTCCACATTTATTTGAGTGTTTAATTTCATTTGTTTAAAAATCATGGATTTTACAATATTTGAAACATCCACCTCAAATTCAAAATGTAAAGTATTAGCTACTAAACTATGGTCGTATTACATGTTATCATACCAAAATTAAGCATACATAATCATGACATTAATGTGATGATTCGGGACACCATCTATGTCCCGACACATTACATGAAATTAACGATTATACTTCTTCTATTTCTTTATAGTTGCAACAAGTCTTTTTTTTTTTTTTCACGCTTGTCGATGCATGATTTCAATCGTTAATATCTTTAATTACCAATAAGTAAAAATTATAAACATTTGATATTAAAATAGTGTAAATCGAGACGAATCTAATAAGATCTCACATGACTATATTTTTACATAGCTATAAATCATCAAAGCCAGTCAAAGTGGAGCACATGAATAATATAAAAGTCAAACTGTTGCAATTATAAAAAAAAAAAAAACCCGGAGAAAGTAAGTATTAAAAAAACTGAAAACCTTTTATTACCAACGGCCCAAGACTGATTATACGTAGTAGGCTTGTAGCCCAAGCATTTTGCAAGTTACGTGCCAACGACCCAACGTCATCAAATTCAAAGTTGGCCCGTGAATTTATATGGTATTGAAAAGAAAAAAAATAAAGAAAGTATAAAGATTACGAGTAGGAATATGAATAATCCCGGTCTCCTAAGTTAAATCCCTCTCTCTCCTCTCTTGGTGTTCCTCCGCTTACTTGGATCTACGAACCCTAATAAAGTTGAGAGTTGTTCCCCAATTTCCCAATTTCACCCACCACCTCAGAATTTGAATCAAAGAAGAAGTAAGAGATGGACGATAGCTGTGCTGTTTGTGCCGATACCCTAGAATGGGTTGCTTACGGGCCTTGCGGTCATCGAGAGGTCTGCTCTACTTGCGTCGCTCGCCTTCGATTTATCTGCGATGATCAACGCTGCTGTATTTGCAAATCCGACTGCACTCGCGTCTTTGTTACCAAGGTTGCTTTTTCTTTTTTCTTTTTAATAATCTTTTTCAATCATAAATCAATTTTGGGTGTATCTCTACTATTTCATGTCAAATTGGGCATTTATATATAAGTTTGTTGGTTGTGGAATTTGGGCGGTCGCAGGCTATGGGTGATTACACTCGAATGGTGAATGACTTTTCGAAGTTGCCGTCGCAAGTGAAGGAAGGTCAAGTGGGTTCTTACTGGTATCATGAAGACACTCAATCCTTCTTCGACGATGCCGAGCAGTACAAGATGATCAGGGCTATGTGCAGGCTTTCTTGTAGTCTTTGTGACAAAGAGGAACAACAACCTCCGCAGCCGCAGCCGCAGCCGCAGCAAGGTGGTGGGTATAGGAAGAGGCAGAGGTTCAGAAATATTGGCCAGCTTAAGTCTCACTTATCTCACCAACATCGCCTCTTCATGTGCGACCTCTGTTTAGAAGGCAGGAAGGTATACTTCATTCTATTAACTGCAACTCTTAGAACAAGCCTGCCCTTTGTTTGTTTTTTATTTTATTTTATTTTTTTTTTTTTTTTTTTTATTTTTTTTTTTTGGTAAATTTACGAACCAATTCACTTGAAATTAGAACGAGAAGCAATTTAAATACAAAGAACTAGACTTGGAATTAGAATGAGAAGCAATTCAAATACAAATTCAGTGAATTGCTTCTTAAGTTTAACAAAAGTTCTAATTCCAAGCTTCCTAAGTTTAACAAAAGTTCTAATTCCAAGTTTTTTATTTTTATTTGAAATTTGAATTGCTTCTAGTTCTAATTCCAAGTTTTTTATTTAAACAAAAGTTCTTTAGGATTCAAATAAATCATTTGTCAAATCCATGAAACCAAGGTCAGGTCAGACATTTTCCAAAGACAATGTTCATGGTGGTTGCCATTCAAATGTTCTTTAAGGCCTTATGGGGTTGATCAATCCCCCTCAAAATATATTAAAGAAAATTTCATGTGAATTGTTTTCCAGGTTGGCTTTTGTGCAAATTTTCTCTCAAAGATAGAGTTTGTTTTGCTGGATGGTTTTCACTTCCAAGCATGTTTAGAGAGTTTTCCACTACCTATTGGAAATTAATCTTCTATGCATTTCATCTAGTCATCGATCATTCTCGTAGCTAACTAGTTATAGCTTTTTCTTCTTTTATTGTAACTGTAACACCTAGACCTGTTCAACGGGCTGGATCCAGGCCTTCCTTTAATGGGCTGGGCTGGGCTAGGGTCAAAGCCAATAAAAGTGGGCCGGGCTGGGTCATGGATCATTGCATCCGGCCCATAGAAACTTTATAAAGGATCTTTAAATGGGCCTTAAAGGGCCTTATAGAGCCAACAAGTTCAAACTTGTAACTTGTAAGTTAAAAGAAGTTAATAAATTAAAGGCAGTAAAACTTTGGTCTTCGTCTTCACTAAACACCAGTGCTCAATTTGCAACTAAAATTGGCAGCTTTTTCTTGAATATTTTATGAGACATAAAGAACCTAGGTTATCAACAAATATAATCCTTTCACCCAATTAAAACCACCTTTCGTAGTTCATTTCTTATAGAAGTACAAATTAGCCACATCATCAACAAATATAATCATATTACCCAATTGAAACCACCTTCTCCACACCCAAATGACCGATGACCCGTTTAATCATAGGTTTTCTGTCCATTTCCGCCATTTTTGACGGTGATTTTGAGTTTTTTTTTTTTGGTATTTTTTTTTTTTTTTTAGTAGAGAGGAGGTTCGGTTTATTTGACGAAGACGAGGTTTAGTATGAAGTATTATGCTTCTGCTTTGGATCCTGCAAAAGAGAGTAGAGGAGAGAGACTATGTTGAAGCTTGAATTTTAGGGTTTGTAATTTGGGGATTTTTTGAGGGTTTGTATTTGAGTTAGAAGATTAAAATCAAAATGACTGATAGTATATTGAGGATACTGACCCTTTTAGGGCCCTTTTTAAAACCTTACCCTACCCTTTTAAAGTCCATTACTTGATGCCCCTTTAAAAGTCCAGCTAGTTTATTTATTGGACGGGCTCAGCCCTTTTAATTTAGGGTTGGGTCAGGGCTTTTAGTGGGGGCCCATCCATTTGTGCAGGTCTAGTAACACCCACACCTAGAATAAATTTTGACTACTGTTTTCTCTTTATCAAAATTGTTTCCCATTGATAGTTATCTTAAACAGCCTTTACGCTTTTTTGACAGTGAATAGTATGGATGTATGCTTTTAATAGACCTTATCTACAATGTGTATCTTTCGATAATTCTTGTTCTGCTATTGTTTGTGATCTGAAAGGGGTATTTGTTTGACTCGTATTATATGTCAGAATGATTATAAGAACCTTAATATATTTGCTGTACAGGGAAGTGAGATAATGCTTATGTTATTCTTAAATGTTTGAGTTGCAAACTGCCTATTCATAGTTTAACTTCTTAGAGAGTAATCAGGAAGCCTGCTGTTATCTGTAGTGCATACCATCTTTCTATTGTGTGAATCTAGTTTTCCATCTTCGATTTGTTTTACATAAGCAGGCTCTATAGCGTCCAACATAAATTGAATGCCTTGACAAATTGTATTCTCTAATTTTGAACCTTTGGTGTCTTCTGGTATTGAAGTTTGTGAGTAATTTTTTTGTGGTGTACAATTGGTTTTACTTTGGATCTGGACTGTATCTTTCAGTATAAGGTTTCTTCCCTGATTTGCATTTTCTTATTATGCCTACCCTTGCAAAAATAGGTATTTATTTGCGAGCAAAAGCTCTACACTAGAGCACAGTTGAATCAGCATAAGAGAACAGGCGACTCAGAGGTAGATGGCACAGAAAGTGAAAGGGGAGGTTTTGCTGGGCATCCTATGTGTGAATTTTGTCGAACTTCGTTCTATGGAGAGAATGAACTGTATTCTCATATGTCAACTGAACACTACACCTGTCATATTTGTCAAAGGTGAGATTGAATTCATTTGTTTTATGTCTATGATATCTTGATCTAATTGTCAGAGGAAAGGACCAGTTTGACGTTCTCGTAAACTATTTTCTAGGCAACATCCTGGTCAATATGATTATTTTAAGGATTATGATGACTTGGAGGCAAGCAATCTTCTTCCCCAGTGTATTCAAATGTCCTTGTGCATTTTCTTTAAGATGTCTTAAACTCTTAGTCATGCTTGCGTGTTTGCAACAGACCCACTTTCGTCATGACCATTTCTTGTGTGAAGATGAAGCATGCCTTACGAAAAAGTTCATTGTCTTCCAATCAGAAGCTGAGATAAAGGTTATACTTTTAGCATGCATTATAGGTTTACAAATGGCTTAATCCTGATATCGCTCTTCTTCTGTGCACTCTGCTTCTGCTCTTTTTCTTTCCTCATTTTGTTATCTGTGATTTGCAAAGGTGTGAAATCAGACTTGCTACGTGGTAGCTTTTGCTTCGTCATGACAACTGAGTCTTTTATATGTTGATGCCTAATGCAGAGACATAATGCAATGGAACATGGAGGTCGCATGTCTAGATCAAAGCGTAATGCTGTTCTCCAGGTATCTCGATATTTTCATGAAAAGCTTTTGGTGTTTCCCTATTGATATCTTATATTCTGACTGCTTCATCTTTGTTTTGCATGCAGATACCAACTAGTTTTAGATATCGAAGCAGTAATGAAGCGGGACATCAGCGTGGACGGCGACGGTCTTTCCGCCGTGAATCTTCTCCAGACAATGAGCTTAGTCGGGCTATTGAGGCCAGTCTTGATAGAACTAATGCCAGTGATTCAGTGGCTGGTTCATCAGCATCATCTACTGCTGAACCTTTAGTTCGTGCTGGTACAGAATCAAGTGACATTGACCCTCTTGTTCAGCCGTTCGACTCGCTAAGCACTACTGATTCCGAACCATCTTCAAGATATCGTCAGGCTGTCTCTCTTACTTCAGCTGATGCTTCTCTAGGTGTATCTTCATTCCCTCCTTTGTCAACTGCACCCAGCAGCAGCCAACAAAAATCTCATGAATCCCATGATACTATGGCAGCTCGTCTACGTCGTAAAAACAAGACCAATGTTCTTAACGTTGCCCAGCCTAGGTTAGCTAATAGTCGTGGTCCTGGTTCAGCTTCTTCATCTGCTTGGCCTGCTCCTGCTCCTGCTCTCACTCCTGCTCCTGTTCCTGTTCCCGTTCTATCTTCTGGCTCTAGTCAAGTCAAGCCAGGCAACAGTTCTGGGTCGTCTAGTTATGCTAGTTCTTTGCATGGCCGGCCAGTGACAGAATCTGGCCTCGCTGTGGGTGGTTCTTGGGGTTCAAGAAGCTTAGGTAGTGGCAATCGGTTGAGTCACTCTAACTCTGCTCCTAATCTCATTGAAAGTAAATCTTTTGATCCAGTATCTGATTTTCCGCCAGTGTCAGCAGCTCAACCCAGCAGGTTGCAATCTACTGCCCAAAGGCCCCAAGCTAAGAAGACAGAGGATGTCCAAACTTCAAATAAGTCTTTGGTAGAGAGGATGCGAGCTGCACTTGATTATGATGAAAACAAATATAGCGCTTTTAAGGAAATCTCTCAAGAGTATCGCCAAGGCTTAATTGACACATGGGAATATATTCAATATGTGAAGCAGTTTGACTTGACACACCTTATTCCTGACATGGCTAGATTATGCCCAGATATTCGAAAGCAAAAGGAACTCTTTGAGGCCTATAATGCTATATGTCAGAGTGATGGATCACAGGAGACATTTTGGGGCAATGACAACCTTCAGTTAAAAGGAAGCAGTAGCTCAAGGAAGGATAAAGGAAAGAAGGTGAATGATGTTCAGAATAGTCGCTCAAAGGAGACATTAGCAGATAGTGTCATCAGTACTGTGAAGAGTTTGCAGACTCAGTTCAAGCCTTCTGAAGGAGAGGCAGAGGTATTGGAAAAGGATGGCTATCGTCCTAGCAGAGGGAAGTCAACTATAGCAGTGACTGGTAAGCCAGTTGTAATGCGTGGCAATATCCTGCCAGGGGCACAAGGGGCTAGAAGTACAGCTGGTCACACTTCAGTAGATGGAGGAAGCAAGCAGAAAAAGAAGAGCTCAAAATTCCACAGAATTCGCCTTGGTGATGACTATAGTACAGCAGCTATAGATGTCAACAATTCTTCTACTGATCCTAGTACAGAAGGGTCATCTGCACACAGTGTTTGGCGCAACGGAGCTGGTCAAAGACTTTTTACAAAATGATGATGGTTTTGAGCCTTTTGGCTAATTTTTTTGAGATTTGGTTAAGTATTGAGGGAGAAGCGTCTCAATTCCCTTCCATGCACTGATCGTTTGCATGAAATTATTTTGGCCTCTTGTGCAGCATGTTGTGTTTTGGTTTTTGAAGATATAATTTACGTTGAGTTGAAACAAGCTCATTAACGACTTAACGCCCATCATGGCGTCATGATATGACAATTGTCTATACAAAATTTATACATTGGATAGAAAGAAATTTATTTATCCCAATTCTTATTGGTGTGCTTGTGTTTTTTTTTTTTTTTTTTTTTTTTTAAATATTTCTGTTGGTAGTTGCATCTTTACCAATTAAGATGTGTAGTAGACTCTCATGCGAAGAGGTTAAGCTGGAAGGAAATTAGTACAATGTCTCATTTATGCAAACCAATAATAGTTTTTCATGTCACAACTGTAATATAGATTCAAGTAAAAGGAAAAATTGTGTACATAACTATTTTGAATAACACTAATTAAGTAGTAAATGTAATTAGGAAATCACATTTCACAAGCCACAATTATTTTAAGCACAAAAAGTAGTGACAAGTTTATTTTCTAGACGTTCTTCAAGGGCTTACAGTCTATGGCTACTAGAATCCAGCACATTATCAGGCCAGAGTATCGCGTGTTGCATCACCTCTTCTTGAAGCAAGAAAAAGAACAGTATTCTATGGTAGGCTGCAATGCTTTCATAATAGGATAAACAGCTTATTTGCTCATAAAGCTTTAATGCATACAGAAAGTTCATTGGTATGTCATCAAGCAACAGAGAATGATTCAAGTAAATCATGTTTGAAAAATTTACAATATTAGTTTGAGAAGTCTAAGAGCTTTGTACAGAAATGAACTGATGGAGAATTTTATAAGTCACATGGGGCACAAAGTTAGCAGAATTCACATTAAAGTCGCAACACCACCGAAGGTTTTTTCACTGCTGTAACACATGTACAGAAATCCATCTTCATCCTTGTATGTCTCGTAGACAGAGTTCAACAAACAAGCTGCAGGTACAAGAATAAAATGAGAACATTGCCCCCAATAAAAGTCACTGGAAGAGAGTACCCAAAAAATATGAGCATAGAGCCAATCCTTACATGTTTGAGGCAATGTATCCTTGACAAATATAAAAAGTGCCTTGCCAGGAGCAAGCTGAAGTCTGCCACTCAATATGTGAATGAAATGGCCAACTGACATGTCTTTAGGAACCAAAAATCTGTAATGTGGAAACCCATGGTTTAAAACAAGAACAGCAATGAAACTTACAAATATACGTCTACAAGGGAACAACAATTAAAAGACAGGGGCACAAGCCCTATTCATTAGACATGAAATAACACAGAAGCATCTCATCTTTGCAAAAATACATGTATTAGAAGCACAGTAGTCATCATAAATGCTGTGTGTGTGTGTGTGTGTTGTGCGTAGAGAGAGAGAGAGAGAGAGGGGGGGGGGGGGAGGTCAGGTGTTGGACAATTTCATAAAAAGTTCTTAGATACGTGCCCATAGTCACCAAGGACTGAGTAAATCTGCACACTTGGAAACTGGAAGATAAAATTGCACATGCAACTACATTTTCTCAAAGCCAAATGAGACAAAGTGTACAAGAAATTCAAATGGAAATGGCAATAGATATGAGGATGAATATATAACATTCTGATAAAATGATAATGGTACAAAAGCTCGTACTATTACAGCTTGCTAGATGAAAGGTTATAAATTACAGGATCCACAAAGTATTGCTGTGTTCAAAAAAAATTAAATTTGGGGAAAGTGAAAAAGTGAAAAACTCAACATATAACTACTGGAAAAGTATTCTGAGTGTTTTGCCCGTAGGTTATTGAGGGATCCCCCATTGATCTTCATGATAAACGACTTATGTTTGTCTAGAGGCAACCCTAAAACAGCAAGTAGCGGTTTTGGTATGAACCGCTACCTCAAGTAGCGGTTTTTTACTCGTATAAACAGTAAAAAAGTTGTACATTTATTTACAATACTGCCACTAGATAAACAATTGTTCTTTATCATGAAGATCAACTTGTATTTTCTCTAGGTTAATTGATATTTTGGACCTCTAGTGATCCATAATCACCCTTAAATTGTACATCATACATCTTCAAAATCAGATTTCTGCACTACAATAATTAATACAGCTAGCTACGTAAGCATTTGTGGTAATTCTACAGACCTATTTAGACATGTCCATGTTTTCCACTTTAGCATAACCCACTTGATATACCAAGCACATAGTCATATTGTTCAAACCCTACAAAATGCAGTATATGAATATAACTTTATTTGGATTTGAAGAGGAACAAAGTCAGTAATGTAGTGTCAATATGAGCTAAAGCGGCTAGCGCAATCAAGAACTATTCGATTGAGAAAATTCAAAGAAATTGGCATCATAATTATTTATATACTCGTAACAATCATTAAAATTGAAAATTAAGCAATCAATGGACGAATACACAAAATCCAGTGTCTGATCATAAATTAAAGCTCAAAGGAAATCAGGAAATAGGGAAAGTACCGACTTTTTCTTCTCGAGTACAGGAAGGTCAGTTCTTGAATATTTTTCGGCAATCACCTGCATTTAACAGAAAACCCCACAAATTAAATTGATCAACTAAAAGCCCTAAAATCAATTGATCAACTAAATAACAAAAATCAGAAAGTGACAGACCGGGACTCGATCAGGATACTTGGCAAGCATATCTGTGGCTTCATTCGACCTTTCTTCTGTAAATTCCAACACAACATATGAATAAATTCAACAAAACCCTTAAATTTGCAGATTCCAATCAAACCAACAACAAGTGTTACATACCAAAAGTGAATTCATCCTTGAAAGATGTAGTCTTTCCCATAATCAATTAGTGTTTGTGTTTCTCTCTCTTCAATTCTTGACTTCTGGCCTGGGGTTTCTGAATTACGTCTTCAAATTCACAATTCGATGATGCCACTTACGATTTAGGAAACGTTTTATAGAGTCGTATTTGCAAATTCACAATACATTATATATACTTTAAATTAATCAAACTAAAAAATTAGCGGGGATAGCTCAGTTGGGAGAGCGTCAGACTGAAGATCTGAAGGTCGCGTGTTCGATCCACGCTCACCGCATTTTTTAAACAAAAATGCATACTTCCGCTTTAAATTCGGTATTTATTATAATTTGGATATGAGTATATTTCAGTTTTTCAAATCCTTAAACCGAAACCAAACCACAAGCTACAATTTTTTTTTTCCCAAACCAGAACTGAACCATATAAAAAAAAAAAAAAAACAAAAAACCGCACCGTATTTCTAATTATTTAAGATATTCACAATAGATTAACACATGTTGTTTACGTATCAATAATACAATTTATGTTATTTATATTGTTTTGGGGTTTTCCGTGTCATTCGGGAGAGTTACAATTCCAAAACTGGATCCCGGACGCCTGTACCTGCAAAACAACGGAGACTCCGGTTGGTGGGAGTTCCGCCTCCGACGATCAAGTTCGAACGTGTTCGGATGTAAAAAGTGCGGACTGTAAATAGGAACAGGTTCCTCTTATGAGAGAAATGATCATCCAACTATAGCAAACAACCTCAATATCTGAGTGTTGACTCTCAAGTGTATTCAATTCTACAATTAATGCTCTCTCTGAATATTTGTCAATGTTGTTCCCCAGGGGGATCATTTCCCTTTATAGGGTCTTGAAATATGTGCCCAGTCCTAGGTTACGGAAACCTAGGACTGATTGGGCTGCCTAGGAGTTTGGGCCTTGAAGGCAGCCATTCCTAGTTGGATATCTATCTGCCACATTTCGTGCCCTGATTGGTCCACTTTGGAGTCTTCACTGAGTGACACGTGACGGACTCTGGTTGGTCCACGTGGAGGGTCTTGATTGGTCCACGTGGTGGGGTAAAAATCCCCTAATCATATAACACAAACAATGTTCCTTTTATCATTAAGATGAATATTATTACTAAATATAAAAATAAAAAAAAAATGGGAAAATTATGATCAATTTTTTAGAGAATTTTTTAAAAGAAAATGATTTAAATATAAAAATTTAGAAACTGAAATTTTAAATTTTGAATTTTGAATTTTAGAAATTTGAAAAGAAAAACTTATTTTTGGGTGAAAATAATTTTAGATATATAAAGAAATTCTGGAAACTGAATATTTTGGAATGATTTGATATTAAATGCGTGGTAAAAATCAATTATTAATTATCTTTTACTTTTTTTACAAAATGTTTCTTAGAAATAAACTTTGTTCTTTAAATTTAATTTTTTGATGCAACGTGTGTTCTTTATATTTTAATGTTGTGTTTTTTTTTTATAAATTCATAATGTTCTTTATAATTATAAGCCATGTTCTTTTTGCTTAATTCGGGTGTACCATGCGCATGGTACACCCGGGTGCACGAACCACCGATTAGGCTTCCCATGGTGATAAATTGGAGCTCCTTCAACTATATAGCGAATACTCCTTTGTGTATTTTTTTTTAAGTGTACCATTTTCTACCAATGCAAAACTTTGATTAATAATATCAAAAATAAAAACAATTGAATGTTAATAAACTATTCATTGAGATGATTCCAAACAGTTACCAAAACTATATTATTTTACGAAGTGCATTATCTTTTTTTGAATATTTTTACAAGGTACATTAAATTTCAAGATAATTACTAATACGGAGTATTAGTTAGAGTGCATTATAATGTAAAAAGTTGCCCTTTAAAAAAACCCGAGGGAGTAACGTTTGAAGCCTAAGCAATTCTGTAAAGGTAAAAAGAGTACTGCATTTGTTTTCGTTTAGGCATTCATAAACTTTTAGCATTGAAAAAGAAAGTGAAGACTTAAGAGTTGTGGTCCGCCGTCGGCAACGCCGCCGGGCAGTAGAGCGGTTGGGGTTGAGAGAGAAAGCGTGTTTGTGTATTGATAAATATGGGCGACGGCGACAAAGAGTTGAGAGTGGTGGATGGCGGGCAATACCTTGGTGAAATCTCGGCTTTGTGCTTCCTTCACGTCCCCTCTCATTTCTCTTCTCTTCCTTATCTTCTTGCTGGTACCTCTCCTTTTTCTTCTCTTCTTTCCATCTTCAACCATTTTTTTTTTTTGCTTATATTTCTCTGTTTTTTTTTATCTACTTGTATTGCTTTTTTCAATTAGGTTTCTCCAAAGTGTACTTGCTCTAATTATCAATTTATTCATGCACTCATGAACTACAACTATATCATATCCATGTTTGATGATGATCTAGATACAGGAATTCATTTGTGCGATGAGTATTATGCAACCAAATGTGTCATATGAAATGCATTTTTACTTCAGTAGTCACTCCCTTTCCACACTTTTCACTGTCAACTACTGAAGAAATTTACCCAATCAAACAGTTTTATGCAATTAACTCATGTTTCACTTACTGTTAATTCATTTGGGTTTTGGATAGTCACGACTTAAGAGGAAGTGCTCAGTAGATAGCTGTATCTCTTCCATACATGTACCTCTTCTATTAATAAGTGTTATCGCCTAAGTTACATTCGTATGTGATATGTATTTTTGTTGAAAGTGTGCTCAGCAATTTACTTATGCAACTTGTGTTTCCATTTAAAAAGTTTTTGTGATACAAAAATAAATTCTCAAATTTTCAAATGTGCTAGAGTGTTGCCTTGTTATATAATTTACTATATGCTTGAGATTGTTGTACGATGGCCATTGTTTCGAATTTATACAAAAAAAGAATCGTTTTGACCAAAGTGTATCTACTTCAAGGTTTTAGTTAAAATTTTGCTTTTGTTTTGGGAAATCACTTGCTTGTAGTTATGTCTGCCGCAGTGTTGCTTCATGTATCTTCATCTAACTGTGGCCGTAATATTTGCACTGGAAGCTGACTGATGTACTTCATTTTCCTTGAAGGTTATCTTTGAATATTTTGCTTCTGAACACTAAGCATGTCTGCCTTCTGCGATTTTTCCCCCCTACTTGCAGGATCAGGATCACAAATAATACTTTTTGATGTAAATCTTGGTCGACAAATAAAATCATTTTGCGTGTTTGAAGGAGTTCGTGTTCATGGGATTGCTTCTATGTTAATGAATTGCAAGGACAATGCCTTGTCTCAATCTGTTACTTTTAAAGTTGTTATTTCAGGGGAGAGGAGAGTGAAATTGTATAGCTTGCACCTTCAGCTGGGGTCAAAGTCTCTTGATAAATCTGATGTTTCAATAGATCTGACTTTTATACAGTTGCTGCCAAGATTTACACACTGGGTCCTGGATTTTTGTTTCTTAAAGGTGATTTATTTCAAATTTCACTTAGGAGATTGAACTATGAAGGCTCAATTTTATTTTATTTTATTTTTATTTTTTGAAATAATGAAGTTGCATTTTCTTTAAGCTATTTTGGATCAACAACCATCTATCTCCTCCTAGTTAATTCTGTTCATAATTTTATATTATGCTCATACGTTGATTTTTTATCGACTTGTGTAGGATGGTTTATCTTCTTCTGAAGAGGGATGTCATTATCTTGCAGTTGGATGTAATGATAATTCTGTTCATATATGGGATGTCTTGACACCACAATTGATCTTTGAAGTTATATGTCCAGGTCAGTAACAATCTATACAACCTCCTTTGACTTCATTTATGAAGAACAGGTCTTCCACTTTCCTTATTTGACATTGCAGCATGTCAGAAGTTCCATGGTCTCTCTTAACTAGTTCTTGTCTGTTATCTTTTGCTGTAAGCGAACCTATATTTGTCTCGCCCAAAACAACAAAACAAGGAAAAAGAGTTATGCCGATGCAAGTGTGGAGCAATTGCTAAACATATTTTTTTTTATTTACATTAAAGATATGTAGGTCTTTCTAATTTTGGTAGCAAATCACAGCATTGTTTCATAAATTTTATCCAATTTGCTACTTCCGACATTCTGTTTTCGGTCTGTAGAGAGGTGCCTTCTGTACTCTATGAAGTTCTGGGGTCATGATTTTAGAGCTCTCCTTATTGCCTCTGGTACTATTTTTAATGAGGTAATCCTTGCTTGTCATTAATTGTTATATTATATTATAAGTATTGTTTTCCTCTATAATGCGCTTACCAAAGTAAGTGGCTGGTTGAACATGGGCAATTTTATTAACACTCAACCTTTGATTTGGCTCTGTTATTCATCTATTTTTTTTGGTATGGTATGTCAGATTGTTGTATGGAAATTGGTTCGTCAACATAGGACACAACCTCCAACAAATGCTGGTCAAGACCTTGTTGTGATGAGCTTATCTGAAGCTAATTGTCCTCTTGATTGTTTCTACTATAAAGTTGAGATTATTTCTAAACTTGCTGGCCACCAGGGTTCTATATTTTGCCTATCATGGTCTAGTGATGGATCCAAACTGGTTTCTGTGTCTGATGACCGTAGGTGAGCCACTTCATATGTTATAGGATATCTTTTGCTATACTCCGATATATTAGTACTCTTTAGTTTGTACCATGAGAAATTGATTAGACTAGTTTTCAGTGCTCGAATTTGGATTACCACTGCTGAAATGAACATGACTGATGATTTGACCAAATTGCATGGCCATTACTTGGCTGGTCCTGGGCTGTTTGGTCATGGTGCGAGGATCTGGGATTGCTACATATCTGACTCAGTAAGCTTTGAAGCACCTCTTCTAGCTTTGATTTGTCTCATTTGAGTTATAGAACTGCTTTTTATATCCTTCTAGTGCTGTCATTCTTTTGTTTTGTGTTTGTTTAGCTGTTGCCGCCTGAATGATATGTAAAAATATTAGGACATTATCTATCTTGTATGTTCATTATCATTTATCTTCTACTCTGTTGCTTTTGGTTGTGTAGAAACTAGGATTCTCATGCTTAAGGCTTTTCTTCCTTTTGTCTCACCCTAACCCTAAGTAGTAAGCAGTCATATTTTTCCCTGGTTTTGGACATTGGAATAGTGCAGCATCATTTACCTGTATAATTTCTTCATGTTTTGGTGTAATGTAACAACTTAGGAACTGCAAATAGGATGTTAGCTTCTTTTTAATTTATAATGTTTAATTTCTTCATGTTTTGGTGTAGTGTAAACACTTAGGAACTGCAAATAGGATGTTAGCTTCTTTTTAATTTATAATGTTTCATTTCACAAACTGAACCTTCTATGCTTTTTTTTTACCTAAGTTTATTGTCACTGCTGGAGAGGACTGTTCATGCCGTGTATGGGGATTGGATGGAAAAGAGCTAAGAGTTATCAAGGAGCATATGTAAGTGCAACTCGTTTCAGTGTTTTGTTTTTTTAGCTTTTACATTACTTAAAAATTGAATCCTGTTGAAATCAATAAGTAGTCCATTCTCTTGTTCTTTTATTTGTCATAGGATCCGAAGGTGAAATGAATTCTCTGAGTAACATGGATCTCTCTTGTATTACCTTTAGATTCTCATGTTCAATTCATTAGGATATTCTTTTGTGAGATCATGAATTTGTTGCATGCAGCTAATGTGACTTTCGTAGCTTCATCAGTTTCTCCTCACAGTAAAATGGATCTTACCTGTTGCTTGCTTCTTTCTTTATTCATCTTTTAGTCTGTTGTATGTTGAACAATTCATTCGTTGTTTGGCAGAGGGAGGGGAATATGGAGATGTATCTATGATCCTGACACTTCCCTTCTTGTTACTGCTGGGTTTGATTCTGCAATCAAAGTCCACTGTCTGCATTCTTCGTTATCTGCATTCTCTGGTGAATTTATCAAAGAGGTCAAGGAAAGAAAAGAAGAGGTCTTCAGACTTTGCATTCCAAATTCATCAGGTCATAGTGTCCTTATGGACAGGTGAGTGCTTGCCATTTCTTTTTGTACTCCCTTCCTTAGTCCTTAGTTGGGTATTTTTATGACATTTATTATTTTTAATGTCCTTTTAAATGGGATCAGGATTTGTTGACACATTGCACAAGTAAGTAAAAAAATCTGCTCACATAACAAAATAATTCTGTTTTTTTTTTTTTTTTTTTTTTTTAAAAAAGAAATTATTTACCTTAAGTAATAACAATATTGCATTATTATTGTTTTTATTATATCATTATCATTATCATTATCGTTATCGTTATTGTTATTGTTATTGTTATTGTTATTGTAATTTCTCCATGATGGTTAGAGGGCATGAGTGTTTTTTTGTGCTTTCCCCTCCTTTTAACATGTGACACCTCCGTGGTGTCTATCTAATATACATCTTTAACAATTTGTAAGCTTGTGTGTATATATAAAAATAAAAAAAATTTGTCAGTCCTAGACCATTTAAGAAGACTTGCTCCAAATTTGAGATCATTCCAAGTCAACTAAAATCAGAATTTTGTTGTAAAAGGATAAACAAAAGTTGGGACCATTTCTGTGAATTTATTCCCCCTTTTATATAGAACTGTTCATATTTTCTTGTTATTTCTGGTGCAGCAAGAGCGAATATGTACGTTGTTTGAAATTCGCCCGCAAGAATATGATCTATGTTGCTACGAACCATGGTTATGTATACCATGCTAATCTATCCGAGAGTGGATCTGTGCATTGGACTGAACTTATCAAAATAACTGAGGAGATACCAGTTATCTGCATGGATTTGTTGTCCCAAAATCTGTCTGAGCCGTCTTTTAAAGTTGAGGATTGGATTGCTGTTGGTGATGGTAGGGGAACCATGAAAGTCATCAAAGTCATATTTAGTGATGGTACTCCTCAAGTGGCTGTCAGAATATCGTGGTCTGCGGAAAAGGAAAGGCAGCTCTTAGGAGTGTATTGGTGCAAGTCAATTGGATGTGGGTAAATGACCATTCTGATCTACTTTATCTTGTAAAATATAATTCTAGGGTTTAGTTTGAATTTTCATATTAAAGAAGCATAGTTGTGATGGAAGTGACAACCTTATTAATTCCATTCACCGTCTGAAACAGGAATTACCTACTCCAATTATATGAGTTGGCTGATGGGGATCCCTCATTCTTGCTGTATTCCAATTTCCAATTACTTCCTGCTCCCCCCAAAAAAGTTCTTCCTAATTATTTGATGTACCTTTGACTCTAGCAAGGAAAGGCTTTTGTAATTTTATCACAAGTCGTAGTGGTGTACTAATTTCCTCCTCTTCTTGTGATCATGCTTTCTCCAATTTATATTTCACTGCTGCTGCTCCAAGAACAATACTTTTACTATTAGTGGCCTTTCTTTTGTATAGTTTCCTTTCCTTCATCTGTATGTGATTTGTCAGTTTATTGAGTATTGTTGATGATTAAAAATCTAATCCATCCAGCCTGTGGGTTCTGTTTGCTTATGGAGATTTTGTAGTATTGTTCTTTTTCAGCAAAAGACTGCATTTCTGTTCTGTAACTATATATCTAAAACGCTTTTTTTCTTCTCATTCTTTAGGTTTATTTTCACATCTAACCCTAGGGGTTTTGTGAGGTTATGGAGGCTGTCTGATTCTTTATCTCATGATGTTGTGAAAAGTTTTGATGCCTGTCTAGTTGCAGAATTCATTTCACCTTTTGGTGCAAGGATAATGTGTCTAGATGCCTCATTTGAGGAAGAGGTATCACCTCTTTCCTTTCCTAATTATTTGCACTTGCCTTCATCTTCAGATCAGTCATTGTAATATAAGATATTGTGAAGTAATATTCCTACAGAGATTATATGGCAGAGTAATGCCAAATTGTTTCAGATGTTCACTCTGGTCCTTTGTACTTTCTTTTTTTTTTGCAGGTATTAGTTTGCGGGGATTTGCGTGGTAATCTTGTTTTGTTCCCTTTGTCAAAGAGGATTCTGCTTGATAGTTCCATACTCTTTATTGAGAAGACTCCTTCAACATATTTCAAAGGAGCTCATGGGATATCTACTGTCTGCAGCATATCATTAGTCAGACTCACCACTGGATTGGTTGAAGTTTGCTCGGTAATGGCTGAATTATATTATTAACTTGATATCATCAGAATTAAGTGTGTTTTTCATGCTTATTTTACTTTCTATCAAAATCATTTGTGTGTCATACTCCCTCCGTTTCGTATTAATCGCAACACTTTCCTTTTACATCCGTTTCATATTAATTGCAACACTTCTATATTTGGAAATCCACCATTATTTTATAATTTCTCTCCCACTAACCACACTTTCACAAATATTTTATTATTTCTCCCTCCCACTAACCCCACTTTCACAAATATTTTATTATTTCTCTTTTCTACCAACCCCACTTATACTACTTTTTTATTATTTCTCTCTCCTACCAACAATACTTTATATTATAAAAAATCCTTTTTTGGGCCCCACCCTATAAATTTTCTTAAACTTTGTGAACACCCTAGTGTTGCGAATTTGCGATTAATACGAAATGGAGGGAGTAATTAAATTTCATTGTATTTTGGTAGTCCTTGTGCGGCTGTGCCCCATATTTTACATCATCCCCTTAGTTTTTGAATCCAAGTTTATGAACCTTGATTGCTAATAGCTTAATATGAGTGATATCATTAAGAGCATGCTGATTTGAAGTTTGGGACTCCTTACATGCTGCTAAGTAAAGAAGAAAGAAGCACACACTAATTTGGTAAACTGTGTTTGGTGCACAGGCTATTTATCATTTTAGCTCTAGACAGTTTCTGAGTATATCTTTTCATATATTTTATACATAGTAACTTCCATAGTATAAAATGGTCAAAGTTTGGTCTCACATCTCATCTCTTGAATAATCTTTTATTGGACAGGAATTAAATATTTATAAAATCAATTATTGACCTGAAGCATTAATATTATGCCAATTTTTAGAATCATTCTTCTTTGCAACTTTGTTTCTTCTCCATATTTGTGGGTTAAACATAAATGATAGTTTAAACTGTTGATGAAAGGAGTATATCTTTCTTTTCTATACAACTTGATTTCTTCCCCATATTTGTGGGCTACATGTAAATGATAGTATAAATCGTCGATGAAAGGAGTACATCTATCTCTTTTCTTTACAACTGTTTTTACAACTGTGACATGACTGACATCTGTGCAGATGTCTACTGTATTCCTTCCACCTTGTCATATATCATTGTCTTGTTTAATCCTACTACTTCACCTTCCTCACTTAGATTCAGTTTGTTGTTTGCATTCTTCTTTGGATAGTGCCTAATTCTGCTGATGAGTTGTTATCTCATCATGCTCTGTTATACAATTTATGGCAACAAAATTTATCTCATCTAGTATTGCCATCGTCATAGGTTTCGGACCCTAGATGGGGTCTGTGATTACTGGTCAAATATGTTTATACAATTAAGAGGCTGGTCATATATGTATTACGAGTAACATTTTGGATATGAAAGCTAACTTAAGTACAGTAGAATTTTGATCTTTCAATTTTTTCTCCTTATGCTATTTGTTCAGACTGGAGGTGATGGGTGCATATGCTATCTGGAATATAATAGAGACCAACCAACTGTAGAATTTGTGGGAATGAGACATATTAAAGAATTAAGCCTCGTTCAGTCCGTGTCTGCTCATTATTCCCTGGATGATTCAGAAAATATCAGCTATGCCGTTGGTTTCTCATCAACGGACTTTTTGATATGGAATTTACTCTCTGAAACTAAGGTCCTCTTCTGATATATTTTTTCTCTTTCTTTGATGATATACTTTTTTTAAACAGGGGAGGAGGGTGGGAGGAAATTGAGGTTTAAATATTTAATTCATATATTATTTCCCATCTTACCTATCTTGGAACCTAAGAATGCGTGTAAATGTAGGTACTGCAAGCTAAATGTGGGGGATGGCGTCGTCCTCATTCTTATTATCTTGGCCAGACACCTGAAATCTGCAGTGGTTTTGCATATGTTAAGGCACGCTCTCTATCCCCACCCTCCCCCCCCCCCCCTTTTTTTTCCAAGTGTCAGATTAATTTTTGGTGTCAAATGTGGGAATTACAGGGAATTTTCTTATTTGCATAAAGTTAACTTCTTATTAGTTACATTCTCTGTTTGCCTAGTGCATGTAGATAATACCTTGTTGACTGGTGCTAACAATATAGATAAAAATTATATTTTGTTATTTACACAACACACAGACACACAAAAACACACATACACATACACATTCACATACATGATATAAAATTTCGCTATAATCAAAGTGTGATGTGCAAAGCTACAGCTATGCAATTTTGTATGTATACACATGCCTCCTCAATTGATTTTCCTCTGCTTTCATTTATATGTATAATTATGAGAAATAATTAAACAAAAAAGGATTATATTTTGAGTGAAGGGACTAAGAGAGTTTTTCCTTAGGATGGCTGTTGAATTTTAAGGACCCCCCCCCCCCCCCTCTCTCTCTTTCTTTTCTTCCTGTTAGTATTGTTCACATTATCAAACGTCAAAGATAGTCTTCTTAACTACTACCTTTAACAACATTATATCAATAACAAGATTTCTGGGCTGCTGGCTACTTAGTGACCATTTTCCCAGTATCATCTTTTGAATAAAACTCTCTCAGCCCGTCTTGTGTGCGGCTGGCCACACCGTGTGACCGCTTGAAAGAACAATGTAACCTTTATAATACCGACCGAGTAACCCCTTTAATATTGTCCGAGTAACCCCTATAACACCGACGAAGTAACCCCTATAACACTGACCAGGTAACCCTTATAACACTAAGGAAGTAACCCCCATGATGGCTGGCCACACGGTGTGGCCAGCCACGTGTAAGAATTTGTGAAACACTATTACTTAGACTCATACTAATGCGTGGCTTGGGTACATGTCCTGGTGCCAGATAAAGTCTTCAAGTCCTCAACTCCCCACGGCTTTTTTTTCTTCTTTTTCTTGTGTTTAGTATACCGATTGAGTTACCTGAAATGAAATAAAGAATACGTAACACATGGCCATTAATCCAAATTGTGGTTTACTACCTGCCAGATTTAATTCTGAGTGAATCAGTTAAACTCACATGTGGAAGCTTACCTTTCATGCCAGAATCCCAGATACATTGTCTTCCACGGTTCCACCGATATTTGTTCTCATATCTGGAGTTATTTGCTTGTGTAAGTTTGATGACAATCGGTTATGTTTTTATTAATTGTCTGAATTTGTTTAATAACCCTCTCCAGGATGAGATCATCTATGTTCATAGATACTGGGTACCAGATGGTGAAAATAAGATATTTTTGCGCAACTTGCACTTACAATTCCATGGGAGAGAGATTCACTCCTTATGTTTTATCCCTGAAGATGTTCAATGTGCAACTCCTAAAATTAGCTGGGTTGCTACTGGGTGTGAAGATGGTACCGTGAGATTGACTAGGTATGATTTTCTGCACAATTAGCTGGTTAGGTTTTTCCTAGTCTTCTATACTGATTGAATTTATTCCTTCAAAATACTTTTCATGTTTTCGGGTACTATTAGTTTTTTTGTTTTTGTTTTTTTTTTTTTTATTTATTTTTTTTTTTATTTTTTTTATTTTTTTTAATTAAATCTTGGAACAGCATATGTGCAAACTGCAAGCTGTTCACTATTGTACAAACATTGTAGACCATTAATATGCTCGTAAATTTGTTGCGTGAAAATTTTATGATCTTTGCAAAAAATTTATTTCATCTGACAGTAGGTTCATTTGATGGATAGCTCAGGTATAATCATGGTACTAGTAATTGGGCTATGTCCAATTTACTCGGGGAACATGTTGGAGGGTCAGCTGTAAGATCATTATGTTTTGTGTCAAACCTACATTCGGCAGAAGCTAAAGTGGTTGAAGGAACTAATGGGACTGGTGGAACAATTAATTCCTTGGGGAACTGTGAGATTCCATGCTTACTAATTTCTGTTGGTGCTAAACGGGTGCTAACTTCATGGTTATTAAGGAAAAGACAAAAAATTGAGGGAGATACATCTGTTGATGGCCTAGTGAACGAATATGGGAGCCATAAGTCTTCACCAATAGACATGCCTTCAGTGTCGTTCAAGTGGCTGTCTTCTGACATGCCTGTTAAAAGTGTTCGTACTAAAAAAAAGGCTCAAAATAGTGGAAACTTACCTAGACCATCAGATGAAGTTTCTAGTTCTGACTCTGTTTCAGCCTCTATGGAGATGGAGCTAATGCAACATGGAGATTCACATGATAATGATTGGAGATATCTGGCTGTTACTGCTTTTCTCGTTAATGTTGCCAATTCAAGGCAAGTTAATTTGACTAATTCCACTACAATTGTACATTTAAGTGCCAATTGAAGTTTCTGTTACATAACTCTCATCTACTTTCAGGTTTACTGTCTGTTTTGTTGTTGTTGCTTGCTCTGATGCTACTCTAATGCTGCGGGCACTTGTTCTTCCGTATCGGTATTGGTAAGATAAATGTCTTCTGCGATTAGGTTATTTAATGATTGCTAAAGTTTTCTTCAAGGACTCTGTAGATCTTTGATATGCTTCATTTTCTTTTGCTTTGCAGGTTTGATGTTGCATCGTTGGCTCCCCTTTCATCGCCTGTTCTGGCTTTACAGCATGCTGTAGCTCCTCTTTGCCAACTTTATCAAGGTTTGATATATTCTTTCAGTGAATCCTTTTGGAAATTACATGTATCTAATAGATTGTTCTGAACTATTTCCTTGTATTACTATTTCCTGAATACGCTAAAATGTAAACAATATGTTCAAACTCTTAACAAGAATTTTATCTCTCAATGGTTAATTATTAGCATCATGACTTGTAGTTTAGGGTGTTAACGAGTCGAGCCAAGATCGAGCCTAGATAGGCTAGGTCTCGGCTTGGTTCGCTCGAGCTCGAAGCTTGTCAAGCCTGAAAAATTGGGGCTCGGCTCAAGCTCAAGACTTCTTAAGGCTCAGCTCGGCTTGAGCTCGATACTCTGTAAGGCTTAGACTCCTAAAAGCTCAACTCAAGACTTGTTAAGGCTCGTCTTGAGCTTGATACTCTTTAAGGATCGATACTCCTAAAAGCTCGGCTCGACTTGGCTCGAGGCTCGTCTTGGCTCAACTCGTGGCTTATAGACTTTAGTATTTAGCCCATTTAACAAGGGCCCAAATGGTACCCATAGTCATTGTTTCTAAGACAGTCTAAGTTTGCTTTTATAACTCTCATATTCTATCCCTTGCTCCTATTTAACGTGCGACTATTTCTTTCTTCCTTTTTTTTTACTCTTCTTTATAAACAAAAACAAAAATCATCAACAAAAGATCCAAAACTTAGCTGGAACACTAGAGTTATGAAAAATAATTTTAGTCCCTAAGCCTTAAATATGAAGAAAAGTTTATGATAATAAATAATTTATTACCAAAAAAAAAAAAACTCGAGCTTGCTCATGAGCTTTCGAGCCGAGCCAAGGATAGCTCAAGCTTGACTCGTTAAGATCTCGAGCTGAACCCGAGTTGAGCTCACTAAAGCCGAGCCAATGCCAAGCTTTGGTCGAGCCGAGTCTTAAGTAGGCTCAGCTCGTTAACACCGCTACTTGTATTTTTCGAAAAAATGTACCAACCCTTCTTATGTTTCCTACATAATTCAGGTAATGATAACTTTATACTTGCCCTCCAAGCAAGCTAAACCTAATTTCATTACTTAACAAAACTGGCCCTAGTAATTAATTACTGAATCAAAATAGCCCTCTAATTGACCAATACAGTTATGGAAGCTCTAGGCCTCATATCTAATGAAGTAAACATCAACTAAATGATTCCCAGCATGTGAAACCCACTCTTTAAAAGCCATGGTAAACCTGCTTCCTAGGAAACCACTAAAATAAGAAAGCCCAAAAACAAGGCTTAAATTAATTGTTACAGTAGTATCTATTGATTCAAATACTGCTACATGAAAGTATAATCTTTTTATGGCTTGTTTTCACTCTTTTGACTGTTTGTGTGGTGAGGCCTGCTGCAGACAGGCTTTTGATGTCTTTACCACTGGGAGGAGCTTGACTGCTGAAAGTTTTTTATGAAGAACGTTGTAAACTTTAGATATTAAATTCTCCATTATATCCCCTCTTCCCCCCCCCCCCCCCTCCTTTTTTTATTGGTATCACCAGCTGTATTAAAAAGCGCGCCTAGGCGCTGAGGCGCAAGGCGATAAGGGGTTTTTGGTTAGGCGCACAAAAAGCGCACGAGGGGCACTCCAGCCAATTTTTTTAAACTGATCACAGAGGCGCGCCTTAGGCACACCTAGGCGCTGCAGATTCCCTCTCGCTTCACTGCGCCTTGTGCTTTTTATACATTGGGTATCACACTGCTTTTGTAGTGACCCACTGACCCTGTTTTCTTAAGAAATTATTATCATTCTCCACTTATAAGCGCCAATGGATTACATAATTTCCCAATACAGAAGGAAGAAGGGTCATTTGTCCTTCTTGTTATTGACTCAATCGAACACTAATGTATTTAACAGAGAATATCAAGATGTGACAAAGATGAAAGCTTGTATTTTGAATTGAAATTGACAGTGGCTTACAAAAGGGCGGTAGCTTGAGGCTTCTACTCTCATTGTTAGTAACTTGAGGCTACAAGTCTCTAGACAAATACATCACTATAATTCTCAACATGGCTGCCACTAAACTACTGCCTTCTTTATATACACAAGGATCAAAATACTATGCTTAACCTAGCTTTAATCATCTTTGTCATGTACTGCTGCCCAAATCAGAGGTCAGTTCCTCAAGCCACCACTCTCTATAATGGATTCATAATGGCGCTTGTCTTCTAGTGCTGATGTGCTCTTCCCATTTGTCTGGTGCTGATTCTTGTCCCCTGCCTTGTTCCCCCTTGTATACACCTTGAGAGGTGGCTCCACTTGGTCTATAACACTATTTTACCTCTAAAACTTTAAATCCCAAAAACTGGATATGAAACTGTTATTTTACATGTCTCTCTCTCTCCTTTTTTTTTCCTCTTGTTGTCTGCATGCATTTTGGCAATAGTCTGAGAAACAGATTTAATAATAATGAATTCGATTTCAACACGTTGATTGTGCAGTCAAAATTATTAGATCATGAATTGAGCAGAACTTCTGGGAGTGCAATAAACCTACAGGAAGCAATTGAACATTCCCAACACCCCCACCCCCCCCCCCCCCCCCCCCAAAAATCCCCTCTTTAGCTGAATCTGATGATAGAGATTGGGGAATCCCCTTGAAATTCAACCCTCAACTGAGAGAAATACAACTAAGCCTTTTTTTTGATAGCTGAAGACTAGTTTTGGAATATAAGAATCTTCCTTAAAACATAATCTGTGTAAAATGAGTAAGATTAAATAATAAAAATTACATTTACAATTTTATCTAATGCCCAATCTTACTGCGTTCACTGTAACTGCTCTAGGTTAAGTAGGGTGAAGAAATCCATCCTTGGACCCACGATACATTACCAAAAGATTTGAGACTCGGGCTTCTAGGGAATTTAGTAAAACTAGGGAGGACATTAACTCTATCAGTCTCTTTGCTACCACTTGAGGCATGTTTTGTTGCTGCTTTGTAATAAATTATGAGGTTAATCTGCTGGCTAGATTATACAATAATGTGGATAGGTAGGATGCATAATAGAACCCTCATGTATACAAGTATATAATTACACAAAGTGTGTTGCTGGCTTGTTGGGTTCTGATTGCTCTGTTATCTATATCATATTCTCATCTGTGTTTTTCTTTTGTAAGATTATCTTCATGTAACCTTATTAAGGTATTTGCAGGTAAAATGGTGACAAAGAACATATATATCATAATTAGTGGATCAACTGATGGAAGTATTGCCTTCTGGGATGTTACTAAAAGTATCGAAGCATTTATGCAGCGAGTATCATCACTTCACATGAAGAACTCTATTGATTTTCAAAAACGACCACGCACTGGTAGAGGAAGCCAAGGTGGTCGATGGTGGAAATCTGTTGATGCAGCTCTAAATGCTAAAGAAAAACCTACGGAATCTATGGCATTGAAAGACAATATTGTCTCTAGTGACAAAGCTGTTGTTGATGAATTACCAGAAGCAATGGTCTTGAAGGGCGAGAATAAATCTTCTGAGCATATAGAAATAACTTCCTCTAAATCTGGGGAAAGTTTTGAAGATTCTTGTGAAAGGTTATTTGAAATAAAACCATTACATATCTTGCGTAGTATTCACCAGTCTGGTGTCAATTGTCTGCACCTTTGTTGTCAAAATCTTGGAAATAGTATGGCATACAACATTGTAAGTGGGGGGGATGATCAGGCACTTAGTTATCTTCAATTTGTTGTGGATCCATCTTCGTCAAGATCAAAGTTGGGCCATATTGGAAAAGAAGGTGATACAATATCAAAGCTAGGTAGCCCAGAACACACTATCCAGTATGACTCAAATCAAAGCTATTCTATCAAATTCTTGTATCAGAACAAAGCCATAGCAGCTCATAGTTCTGCTGTAAAAGGTACTTATTAGTCTTTTTAAAAAAAAAAAAAATTACTCATTTTCTATGTGGAAACAATATTCACTCCGATCCGTACCCGTATTGGATAATCGTATTCGTGTCCATGTAACTTAGGTCACCACATGTGAGTTCCTTTTGGTAGAACATATTTTTATGAAGCGTGGGTAATAAGTCCTGTAACTTGTGTTAATATAATCTTGCTTGCACCTCTTGCGCTCTTAGGACTCTAATAGGTATACAGTATGCTCTTGCCCTATTGAATTATCCCTTTTGGCTCCCTCAATTATTATCATTTTTTTTTGTACATCCTGTGTTCAAGGAAGAATGACCCAGTATTCATTGCAAAAGGAACATCATATCTCCTGAGTCTTGATGTAGTACTAAACATATTAGCTGCTTTCTTGTCTCTCTTTTGATGACTCCCAAAGCTTTAGTGAAAGTGATCTTGGGAAGAAGAGAGAGATCTTACACATGCTCACATTACAGAAGGTTCTGAAAATTTGTGCAACTATTGGAAGTTTAATATCTTGGTTTCCATTTGGTTTAGGTGTATGGACAGATGGAATCTGGATATTCTCTACCGGTCTTGATCAAAGAGTAAGGTGCTGGAATATTCAAGAGCATGGCAATCTAGCTGAGCACTGTCATTTCATAACTAGTGTACCAGAGCCAGAAGCCTTAGATGTCACAGCCTGTGGAGGGTAAATGAAGCACTTTGTTTTGCTTACATATGGCTTTGGCAGTTATTCTTACCACGAGAAATGATTTTCTGCTGCTTTATTAATATTTATTATCTTCATACAGGAACTGTTATCAGGTTGTTGTAGCTGGTAGAGGAATGCAAATGATTGAGTTCTCTTTAAATGATTGCACTGCCCCTTGAGATCTATTCTTAAAGCGCTAAATTGGTAAGCAGAACTTTGCACTTGATTTCTATAAATGCTTAGTGAATGTGTCTTCAATACAGTGAAAGTCTGCATTGTGACATAATAGAAACAAAGCAGAGTCTCAGTGGTATAGTTCTTTAATGAGCTGTTGAGTTCTAATATCATCATCAACTAAAGGATATTCTATCTGTTTTGCACTATATGATGTTTAACTTTATGGTAATTTTTTTATTAATCTTGACCATAATTGTCAATTTGTCATACGTGGTGAAACAGCTACATACTATCTCTTACTGTTATACTTGCATGTTTAATGCTCTGATATATTCCAAAACTAATTGTGCTCTTTGGAGTTTGGGTATAAACCATGATATCATGTTCTGCTGTGAGTTTAAATTATGATTTAATCTGTAGTATTGTCTTGGCACTTGTCTGCATGAAAAACTTGTATTTAGGTTACATTAATGTTGGTTTTTAGATGATTAATGACTAAGTTGCAAGTAGAAAAAATGTGACCATTTTGATTTACAAAGATAAAAACCCAAGTTAAAAGTTGTATTCCTTTTTCTCTCATAAATCAATATCACTTTCATGGGACAAAGTTAATGTTAAAGCCCAAGCATTGTTATTCTCAGGGTCTGTTAGATGTTTGGCAAGTTTCTCTGGGGATGCTTTCTAGTTACAATTGCTTGAACAAAAGTAGCCAAACATGGAGAACATAGCTAGTCTTCCATTTTTCATCAAAAGGGTCAATCACTTCACCAAAAGGCCCACCTGCAGCCCGATTACCTTTGACAGCACCCATTAGGATGACCTGAAAAGCCCAAATTACCAAGATGATGATTTGTGCATGGATCGAGCTTAGGTTGCCCAGGTAATTGAGACCAACATTGCTGAAGATTTTGGCACTGGTCTTGAACCAAACTGCCTCTCCGATTTTGACCCTGGTCCTAGAAAGAAGATCAGGGAAGACAGCCTTTCTGCTATGAATAACTTCATGCTCTTGATTCTTAGTGGAGGTGTATTGGTCAGCTGATAATCCTGCTGTTTTTTTTTTGTAGTCTTCGGGGAATTCATCGTAGAGGTAAAATGGCTTCTTCCTCATATTGATTTTTCCATTGCTTTGGACAACTACTGATGGTTCTACCCTTGAAATTAAGGGGAGTAGGGTTTGCCTTGTCTGTGTATGGGGATGAGAGAATAATGGTAGCCATTGAATTGTTGTTTTGAAGGGAATTTTGTTTATAGACATTGTATACCATTAGAATAAAGCTTGAAAAATGCTTCAAAATATTTAGTTACAATATATTTATAAATTAAAAAATAATAATTATAAACTATGTTTTAATCCGAATTGTGCACATACACATATGAATAGGGGTGAAAGTTCAATATTCGATTTGGATTTTACACCAAACCGAAATAATTCGGTTTTTGATTTTTGAAACCGAATCCAAACCGAATTTAAGCTCAATCCAATCCAATCCAAACTGAAATGATTCGGTTTTGGAATTGAATCCAAACCAAACCGAACCGCAATGTGGTTTTGGGCCCAATCATTGGACCTATTGATTTTGTGCTTAATGACTATCATGGATTACAACAGTCCATAATTAGAGTCATAAGGTTTGATATTGACCAAACTTAGCAAATAACATAATATAAATAAATAAAAATTGCACATAAAAAAGTCTTAAAATGCAATAAGAAACACTACAGCAGCAACTCAGCAAGAACATGGCAGCAACTCAGCAGGTCTTCAAGGCATCATCAATTAATATCTCAACCAAGTCTGGATCATCATCATTTTTGACCACCAATTCTCATATTCCTCAAGTCTATCAATACAAATATAAACAAGTTACATAATATTTATATATATGAAATAATGAACATAAATAACCAAAAATATAAACACATTAACCGCAACAGCAAATTCAACAACAATAACCAGCGATACAACAACATCAACAATTAATTCGAGCAAAAGTTTCATCAACAATTAATTCGAGCAAATTCAAGCAAAGTAGCAAACACGATTTAGCAATTAACAGAAAATGAATAGAGAATTTGGGGATATTTAATTGAAATTCAAGCAAAATTAAAACATAAGAAGCAAATTAATTCGATCAAAGTCTTACCTTTGAGTGTTGTAGTGAGAATGAAAGTATGAACTATGAAGGGAGGGCGTGGGCGAGCGGTGCTGCAGTGGTGAAGGATCTTCGGGCTGACTGAGAGTGAGGGAAGCGGTGATAAGGGAGGTGGTGAAGGAAGCGGTGGACGACTCAGTGAGAAAAGGGGGAAAAAATTAGGGTAGCTACAAGTGAGAAAAGGGGGAAAAGAGCGAAAATGAATTAGGGTTTAGGGTTATATATGAAGGGGAAAATGGCCTGGGGAATTGGCCTTAATATAATTCGGTTTGGAAATTCGATTTTCAGTTTTTGGAAGCCCAAAATCGAAACTGATCCGCAATCCATATTTTCTTCTAAAAAACCGAACCGAATTGTACGGTTTTAATCAATATTACTTTTACCCCTACATATGAACATGAGATTTAAATTTTAATAGAAATTCTCTTTGATACTCGTCAGTTTTTTATTTTTTCAATGGTGAACAGCAAAAATTCTGATTATTTTTGGTAATCATGAATTATTTGTATAGATTAACCATAACATTAATGATTTATTTTGGTTAAAATCTTTAACTAGCTTTAGTTAGTTTTTTATTTTATTATTTTTTTATAACAATTAAATTATTTTAAAATAACTTTTTTTGAATAAAAAAACCACCACCTATTTTTCCCCCACCCCAGCCAACCAACCCCCTCCTCCGCCCACGCCAAGCCCCGATCCCCTTGCGCTCGGCACCGGCCGCGCTCAGACCCCCTGGTGCTCACACCGCATCGGCCCTCCCCCCGTCATGTCACCTTCTTCCCCTTGAACCACCAACTCGCCTTCGCCTTCCTTACGCCCACGAAACCCTCGATAAACCATCCCCAACCCTCGAAAAAACCCCAACCAGAACCCTAGCAATGGCGAAGGAGGTCCGGTTAGGGTTTTTTAAGGGTTGGGTGATGGTTATAGGGGGATTCGTGGGGGAAGGATAGGGGTTTCGGGGAAGGGGTTGGGGTTGGGTGGTTCGGGGGAAGGGAAACACGACAGTGGGAGGGTGTTTAGCGCGGCACTGGCGCTAGGGAGGATGTAACACCCTAGACATTCCTTTCCTTTAAAATACCTATTTTGCCCTTTTTAAAATACGAAATAGGAAAATCTAAAACATTATTGCTGTCGTGAAAACGGTTAAGGCAAATATCAAAGACACATACAGCAGAAGACTATCTTTAAAACCATTTAAAAAAAATCAACTTAAGAAGTCAAACCAAACAAAAGTAAAAGTCAAACTAAGTCAAACAAAGTCAACCTACAACTTGAAACCATTGTAGGCCCTCAAAACCAAACAATAAAAAAATACCTTTGCGTTAGTCTCATGGACAGAATAAAATAAATAATATTCAAAGCAAATAAAACACATTATATTCCTATGAGAACTAAGCATGATTCGCTCTTCACTCAAGTCCATCATGAGTATGCTTCACCACCTGTAAAGCTTCTCTCTACTTGTCCCCATTACTCACCATTAGAAATGGGTCGTCGTAGGGCCAAGGTAAAGACAAGGCCAAACAAACATACAAACACACCATCAGCAATGCTGAGTACATAAGCGTAATAAAAACACACTAACATGCTTTCAACTTATCATCACACAACTTACTCTGTTGCACCTGTTTACAAGCATACAAAACACTCTCAACACTTAACTAGACAAATACCAATTTTTATTTAATTTTTATTACACATCGAACGAGTTTCCAACCAAATCCCTGCCTCAAATAAATTGAGGTAAACTACACCGGGAGCTAACCGGGTAGGCAAATGTCACATGAAAGTAACTGGACGTCCTGCACATAAGATAAGTAAAAAGGAAAGTACAGCATCCTGTACTCCCAGTAGAAGTCATGGTTAAATATAAAACCCCATAACTCCCCCCATATGTTCATACTCGAGGTATATACGTTACAAGATTTTTGGTGTGTAATCTCTTTCACTTTACGTTGTTTACATATTATTATATTTGGTGATGACTCTCAAATCATAACACAATCAAACATTATAATTCATTCAAGCAATCAAACATACCAATTTAATTCTTGAACAATTAGTGACCACATAAATGTAATAGTTGAACCCTTCTTAATCTACCTCAGTGTCAAAGACACCTTAAACGCATAGTGCGCCGCAAATCCTATCCCTCGGTGTTAGAAACACCTTAAGTGCACTTAAGCACCGCAATATAATTTATTCCTGTATACTAAGACACTTAAATAGCTCCTTTCTCATGCTTATATCATCAGTAAAAATTATATGAACCATAATAGAATTCCCTTTTCATATTCTAAACCAAATTAAACATTTAGTTTGACTACACATGCTCTCTAACATGCCCATAATAAAAATGTGGTTTATAATCAACATACCGACATAATTTATTCCAATCACCAATTCACCATAAATAATTCACACATCACAAATCATTCACAAACATCAATCCAATCAACAAATTCCTATCATCGCCTACCATGATACTACTTGGAATTAATTTAAACAAAGCCTAGCATGCTTCTACATATTCAAATAATTACTAAGTACGGGAACGTACCTTGAGTATGACCTCAAAATCGCTACGACTAAATAAAATCACTCACTTAAAAGTCTCCTACAAACCAAAATTACAAAGAAGCATTAATACCTCTTCCACACAAATTTCCAGCAATATATACACTCTTTAAATCACTCATAAACCCTCTAAAATAAGCTGAAATTTTATTTAAAATCCTTACGTTTATTCCCAATTAATGGGTAATTAAAAATCCTTTGAAGAAATATAATTATAGCTTATATATAAAAATTCCAGCATTATTAAAACTTATAAACTTGCTGTAATTTAATTTAAAAACATTAATTTCAACAGTTTTAATCAACCACAATCAAATTCCATCAATAAACATTAATTTAGAAACCTAGGGTTTTCAATTTGGGGCTTTTTAATCCAAAATCAAATCTGAAAATTTATATACAAAATACTTATCATTAAACATCCTAAAATCATCACAAAACCCAAAAAAATAATTAGATTTAGGCTAGATTGAATTAAAATCAAATTTATTATTATTATTATTATTTTTTTTTTTGGTTTGGACGCCACAACATCGACACCGCAGCCGGCTGCTGCCGCGCTTGCTGGTGGCTGCGGCAGTGGTCCGGCAGCGTGTGGTGAGGGGAAAAGAAAATAAGAAGAGAGAGAGAGTTTACCTTTGGGTGCACTTCACCTTAGGCATATGATGGGTATTTATACCCCCTTTCATATCCGTCCTACTTAAAATTCCTTTACTACCCTTAATGATCCCTTTTCCTAGTTAAACTAGTATTTTGACTTTCCTTAAATACCATTGACTTTAAAAATTATCTTTTTATAAAATAATATGCGTCAATATTTCCAAATCATAAAATAAAATATTTTGAAGATTATTAAATAATTAAAAATAAACTTTTAATTAAAATAATTCTTTTTAAATTAATAAAAATCATAAATAATTCATTTCGAATTATTTAAATACTTTATGAAATACTTATTTAAATTAAAATACGTATAAAAAAGACGGGGTATTACAGAGGAGGTGTCTGGGCGCGCATGGAGGGCGGGGGGTGGCTGCATGGGTGGTGATTTTTTTTTTTAAAAAAATAATTTAATTGTTAAAAAATAATAAAACTAATCCTAGTTAAAGATTTTAACCAAAAATATATCATTAATGCTATTGTTAATATATGTTAATAATTCATGGTTACCAAAGGTAATTGAAAGTTTTGTTGTTTACCAAAGAGAAAATGAAAAAAATCACATGAGTATCAAAGAAAATTTCCCTAATTTTAATAACTTATCTTTGTCGGGGAAATTTTTATTGAGGATAAGTAGTGTGAGGTAAGTTTGGATTTAAATAAATGTAGGATAGAAGAGGTGTCAAAAACTAACCCGACCCAATTCGAATAAAATTTAATTCAGATTTCGATTTGTGTGGACACAATAATTTAGCATGATTCAAATATGAAATAAACTTAAACTGACCCGGTCTCACCGAATCCAGCATTGACGACCAACCAAGTTAATACCAATGTATATGTTGTTTTTGTAATACATATATATTTTTTGTAGTATTGCGTATATAGTTTGAGTTATTTTAATTGCAATATTTATTTCAAAGTATGCAAAAGGTAAATAGGACAAATTTTTAGAAATAATATCCCCAATGGCCTTACTCACTTAAAGAGTTAAGGTTGTTTATGTAACTAAAGTCCATAGATCTCAAAAGGCTCAAATCAATGTTTTAAAAGGAAGGAAGAAAAAAGAAAAAAAAAAAAAAAACTGAAATAGGAAGTATGAAATGGAGCCGAAGCCGGTGACACGTAATTGGTGGTAGGTAGGAAACTGTCCTCATCCAGTTATCCGGTAAACCTACTACTGCTACTAAGATTTAACCTACTACAGTATTAAAATTAGAAAAGTACTTTGATAATTACTCTTACAACATAATGACATGTCCTCTCCCCACCAACCCCCATAACCTATGATCTTCATTAACTATTGTTTCAAAAGCTTGGCTTTAATCCTAACAGTAATCTTATGCCACCATGCTCTAAAAAAAACATTAAAACTAAATACTTTTTACACTTTTCACATAAATCACATAATCTACTTTGAACCATATTAGTAATTCGTAATTCAGAAAAAAAAATAAAAAATAAAATTATCATGTGGGCATTTATTAGAATCATTTCAATATACGTAGTGTATCAAGTTTCTGTTATACATATTGATAAGTAAAGATATTGTTAATTAAATTTTTATGTTGGCATACGTGCCCTGTTAAAATGGCGTATTAATTTTAAAACATAGGAAGTAAAAAATTATTGGAAGATTTAAGAAAATTTGTGGTAATTTACTTGCACTTTTTAAGTAGTATGAATATGTTTATTCAAAAAAAAAAAAAATAAAGGTAGTATTAATATGTTGTGAAATACATAGTACGGAGTACTTATTATTATTATTATTTTTTTTTTTTTGACTTTTTGAAAAAACGACATGGAATTAAATTAATGGAGGTCAAGTTTCGCCAAAGTGGAGTGTTTTTTTTTTTTTCCTTTCCTTTTCCTTCACAATTTTATATTACCACGTTAGTAAAATTAAATAGATCTGTTTGGAAATCTAAATTTTTTGAGGTAATTGCTAATACAAGTTGATCCATGCATAATATATACATAAATAGTTTATGATTCTTACTTTATTTGTAAATGGATATAGAAGACTTCTCCAATTTATGTTTAAACTTTTGAAACCACTTTATTTATCTCAGCTCATTTGTGTTATAAATACTCTGTTCGTCTTAATTTGTTTGCTTCATAGGCAAAATGTGTTTTTATCAAAGATTAAACGAAAACACTACTAATGGATAGGATTATATTTGTCTTTTTTCATATATACAAGTAGGATTGGCAGTAGGAACATGTTATTACATTAGAAAATAGGGCAATTTTAAGAGACATCTAAATTTAAAAAATAGAGCAAACAAATAATAAAAGAGAGAGTAAGTATTAGTAATGTTTAAGACTTAAGTTATCAATATTGAAGCATTAATATAATTAAATAACCATTAAAATGGAAAAAAAAAAGAATGTCGGAAAATGGAGTAGAAATAAAATAATGGAAGTGGTAAAAAAGAGTTGAGACATTTAGCGGGTGAGCATGGATCGGATATCTGATTCGAAATTGGATTTCGGATCGGATATCCGTATCTGAAAAATTGGTTATTTGATATTCGTATTCGATCCGAAATAAGACTTAAGTTATCAATATTGAAGCATTAATATAATTAAATAACCATTAAAATGGAAAAAAAAAAAAAGAATGTCGGAAAATGGAGTAGAAATAAAATAATGGAAGTGGTAAAAAAGAGTTGAGACATTTAGCGGGTGAGCATGGATCGGATATCTGATTCGAAATTGGATTTTGGATCGGATATCCGTATCTGAAAAATTGGTTATTTGATATTCGTATTCGATCCGAAATGTTTCGAATACCCGATATATGGATATCCGAAAATTTTGGATCGGATAGTTTCGAATTTTTTTTTTTTTGAAACACCAACCCTTTAAGTTTTAATAATTTGGTAAATACTAATGTAATGGCAAAAATAATTTATTTTTAAAGGCAAATATGTAATGATATCCAAATGCAATTTCACATAACACAATATTTTCCATTAGAGAACTGGTAATTCAATTCTAAAAGTAAATCAAAACACAACATCTTTTAATAAAATACATTCAGCCTGCTCTAGAACCTTCAACTTCTAAATAATAATAAAAAAAAAATCAAAATCTAATTCACCAAATTACAATCAACCAAATGACGCTCCACCTTCGCGAACTCGCAATGGTTCTAATTGTAATGGTGTTCAATTAGTGGAACTCCCGAAGGTTAAGAACCACCGTTGACGACAATTAGCAGCTGATGGAGTGAAAACATACCGACGCGATGAGATGCTGAGCCGGGCATGAAGGTTGAGTGAGAGCCTGAGGTCTGAGAGATTGAGAGTGAGGTGAGGAGAGGAGAGAGAAAGTTAGGGTTGAATACTTGAATGGTTGTCTTGGTTGAGGAGATCTGAGAAAATTGAGATTTAATTGCTTGAGAATTTGAGATGAGGAAAGGAGAGAGAATCTGAGAAAGCTAGAGAGAAAAAAAAAGAGGAGAAGAGAAAGAGAGGCGGGTGGGGGCGTGGGGACTCAATTGTTAGGGTTTGGTAGTTTTTATATGATGTAAAAAATAATATGGAGTACTAAAATATCGGAGTAAATGAGTGATTTCTTCATATTTATCCGATATTCGGATTTTTTTTCGGGTATCGGATTTCCGAAATATGATATTTGGATATCCGATATCCGACTTTTTCGGATCGGATATCCGATCCGAAATTGATTTCGGATCGAATATTCATAATTTTCGAATCGAATGCAGATTGGATCATCGAATTTTCATATAGTTTTGCTCAGCCCCAGATACATGTGTTAATTAAAAAAATGATTAGAGAAAGGTGATTAGTGGTAGCAAAAAGACTCAACAACCCACTAGCAAGGCAGTAGGCACTCAAAAAAAGAAGGAAAGTAAACCGGTGAATCAAGTAGCCGGTGAAATTGGATGTGCTATAAATAGAAAGCGCACGAATTGCAAATGGTATCAGTTAAACATACATATTCATTTCAGTGCCTCCAATCAATCGTCTCGTCGGTGTTCTCTCATTCTCTCTCCTGCCTTCTCAGATCTTCTTCCTTAAGGTACTTCACTGCTCTCTTTTTGTTTTTTTCGGAATGTTTAATTGCTTATCATTTTACTTTTGTATTAATTATTGATTCAACGTTAGATTGTTGATAGTTAAATCTATTATCGTAGAATTCGTTTCATTAGGTTATAGAAATGGAATCTGTTTATTTATTGATTTTCATTTTCGGAAAATGAATCTGAAGATCTGGGCATCAATATGACCTGATTTCTAACCAGTTTGTTTCGATTTTGGATTTAGACTTGACAGTGAATGTTTTATATTATACGAGGTTTTATTTTGGATTCATGAGTTTTTAGAAATCAAACTTGTATTTGAAGCATAAAAGAAATGGCAATTTTTATGATAACATCTTATGCTATGACAATGCTATAGCTAGGTTTTTGACATGAATTCATCTGGTATGGTTAATTAATTCAGGAAATGGAGACCTTCCTATTCACCTCGGAGTCTGTGAACGAGGGACACCCCGACAAGCTATGCGATCAGGTCTCTGATGCAGTCCTCGACGCTTGCCTTGCCCAGGACCCCGACAGCAAGGTTGCTTGTGAAACTTGCACCAAGACTAACATGGTTATGGTTTTCGGTGAAATTACCACCAAGGCCAATGTAGACTATGAGAAGATTGTCCGTGACACTTGCCGCTCCATTGGCTTCATCTCTGATGATGTCGGTCTTGATGCCGACAAATGCAAGGTCTTGGTCAATATCGAGCAACAGAGCCCTGACATTGCTCAGGGTGTCCATGGCCATCTCAGCAAGCGCCCTGAGGAGATTGGTGCTGGTGACCAAGGCCACATGTTTGGCTATGCCACCGATGAGACCCCTGAGCTTATGCCTCTAAGCCACGTTCTAGCCACCAAGCTTGGTGCTCGCCTCACTGAGGTTCGCAAGAATGGCACTTGTCCATGGCTCAGACCAGACGGTAAGACTCAAGTCACCGTTGAGTACTACAATGAGAATGGCGCCATGGTTCCCGTCCGTGTTCACACTGTCCTTATTTCCACCCAGCATGATGAGACTGTCACCAATGATGAAATTGCTGCTGACCTTAAGGAACATGTCATCAAGCCTGTCATCCCTGAGAAGTACCTTGATGACAAGACCATCTTCCACCTTAACCCATCTGGCCGATTTGTCATTGGTGGACCACACGGAGATGCTGGACTCACTGGCCGTAAGATCATTATTGACACATATGGTGGATGGGGAGCACATGGTGGCGGTGCTTTCTCTGGCAAAGACCCAACCAAGGTGGACAGAAGTGGTGCCTATGTTGTCAGACAGGCTGCTAAGAGCATCGTAGCCAATGGGCTGGCTAGAAGGGCTATTGTGCAGGTATCTTATGCCATTGGTGTTCCCGAGCCTTTGTCTGTATTTGTTGACACTTATGGAACTGGAAAGATCCCTGACAAGGAGATCCTTAAGATAGTGAAGGAAAACTTTGACTTCAGGCCAGGAATGATCTCTATCAACCTCGACCTCAAGAGAGGTGGTAATGGCAGGTTCCAGAAAACAGCTGCATACGGGCATTTTGGAAGAGACGACCCGGACTTCACTTGGGAGGTTGTCAAGCCCCTGAAGTGGGAGAAAACTAATGCGTAATGCTGCTAATGCCGGGAGCTGCAGATTTTGCATCTCTGACTGCTACTGCTGCTATATAATGTTTTTATATTCTGATTTTTTCCCCATTGAAATTGTTTCCAATTTCGACTTGATTCTTGAACCAATTTAAAAAGAGATGGATTTCTGTTTTCGTTTATTTGAATTATGAGTAGCATCAATTTATCTTGAAAGCATGGTTTGGCTTAAGCATTTCAATTCTCACAAGCTCTTCCCTTGAAGCTACATATGTAATTATGACCTTGGCCTTTAAATATTTGTTAGATCATTGTTTTGGTATAAATTTCTTTTTTTTGTTTTAACATTCAAAGTTACAGTGCATTTAAATGTCATGTGACCATTGAACTAAGTGATGATAGAAAATTTATAATAAAAATAAAAAACCAAACAAGAATAGAAGCTTGATTATAAAATTTTAAAGCGCTACTATAAGCGACAGATTATATGTTTCCGTTGCTAATTTTAGAAACGGATTGTATATTTCTGTTGCTAATTTTAGAAACGGATTGTATATTTCCGTTGCTAGTTTAGAAACGGATTATATATTTCCGTTGCTAGTTTAGAAACGGATTATATATTTCTGTTTCTAAAGTTAGCGACGGAATTTTAATTTCCGTTTCTAAGTCATTGCAACAGGATTTGAAACGGAAAATATTCTGTCTCTAAATCAGCTACGGTTATACATGTTTTCTGTCGCTAAGCTCATTTAGCGACAAGGCTTTTAACAATGGAATGATTCCGTTGATAAATCTGTTGCTAGCTAAATCTAGTGACGGATAAGTGGAAATTAGCAACGGATTCGACCTGTAGCTAAATGACTTGATTTTTGTAGTGGGGAGTCTAGGAGAGGCCAAGCAGTGGTGAATTATAGCCATGGGTGGATCTCAATTTTAGTATATTAGGAAAACTAGACTCTAATGACATTGGCGACATTACAGTGATTATACGATTTTCCAATAATGCTCCTTTTATTACTCTTTTTTTTTTTTTTTAAAATTTTGTTAGCTAATTTAAGTCATAAAGTATTTTATTTTTCTTCTAATAACTAGCAATCTAAAATACGTCATATCAATTATTTTCCTATTATTGTCTTCTTCTTTTTTTCTCCTAATTTATGTTTTATTTTCCTATTTAATCTTTATCAAATATTTTTAATAAAATTCTCAATTATAAAATGTATTACAATTTCTATGTACAAAAAAATGTATAAAAATTGTTTCAAAAAAATATGTATAAAAATTTATGAATACTGCTACTTTTTGGATGCATGTGCGTTCTTTATTTCAATTTAGTAATTACGATTTACGAATACTACTACTTTTTAGGTGCAAGTTCATTCTATATTTCAATTTAGTAATTAAGATTTACGAATACTACTACTTTTTAGGTGCAAGTTCATTCTATATTTCAATTAAGTAATTCCGATCCATATAACTATATAAGCTCCTTTTATTGGTCTTTTTTTTTTTTTTTTTTTTATCTAATTTAATTATTCATTTGCCTATTTAATCTTATTTAAACGTTTTAAATAGTGCCATTCAAATGTTTCAAATAAAAATAAAAATAATGCCATTAAAAAAAAACGTTAACTTGGATATGAACTTATTAAAAATAAAACAGATAATTTCAAATAAAAGAAGTTTAGAAAAAAAAAAAGTTTAGATAATTTCAAATAAAATGACTCGGTTATCTTATTTAAGTAGAAGCATTGTGATTAGACAGGGACTGAACTTATTTTAACTTATTCAAACTAAATCTATTCTATCCAAATTTATATGAACTTATTGTATTTTATCTAAACTTATTTGAACAATGTCATCTCGATTCTCGAATATGAACTTTTTGAAATTGTTATCCATAAAATGAGTGGAAATAATGTGAATAGATCAGAATAGGGTTTGAACTTATCCTCTAAAACTCTAAATTAAACCTATCTTACTAGAATTAATATGAACTTATTATATATATCTTATTTAAACTTATTTGAACTTATTAACTCGAATTTAAACTAATCTGAAATTGTTTCCTAAAATGAGTGGAACCCATGAAAAATAGATCAGAATAGGGTCTGAACTTATCTTCCAAAAATCTTAACTATACCTATCTTATCGAAATTAATATGAACTTATTATATCTTATCTTTAATTTATATGAACTCATTAGTTCGAATTTGAACTTATATGAAAATATTTATCCTAAAATAAGTGGGAAAAAAAAAATGTAGTTTAAACTTATTAGCTCGAATATGAACTTATTTGAAATACAATAAATGAAAAAATTGATAATGATTAAACGTGAACGTCAATACATGAATTGTTAACAAACCGACCCGAAAAATAGACCCGAACCCGATATGACCCAACCTGAAATTAACCCAATATTTGAGACCCGGAACCCGAACATGACCCGACCTGATTATAACCCGCAAATTATTGACTTGAACCAAACCCGACTTGAACCTGAGAATGACCCGACTTGGTAATAACCCGACCCGATAATAACCCACAAATTACTGACTTGAACCAAACCCGACTCGAACTCGAGAAGGACCCTAACTCGTTTTAACCCGTTAAAACTCGAATTAAACCTGACCTATTATTCACCCGACCCCAATGTAACCCGACCTATTATTGACCCGACCTAAACCTGACTCAAACCCGATAAGATGTATGACCCGACTCAAGCATGACTCGACCCGAACCCGTCCCTAATAGATTACAACATTAACCCGAATTGACCCGACCCGAGTTGACCTGACACACACTAACCCGACCCAAACTCGACTCGTTTACCAGAATTGACAGTTATAGGTATGCGGTGGGGATGGGGCGGGTACAAAGCAGGGCAGGTACAACTTAAAATCCACCCATGGTGAGTATGGTTATTATCCCCATCCCCGCTAGGACCCATCCCCGCCCCATTGAGACCGGGATGGGACGGATCTCCTACTTGACCCACCCCACTGACATCCCTAAATATAATGGTAACTTTATGTATTTATATCTCACATCCTTTGTCACCCTCGTCATCAACACAATAACATTATTGTAAATCCGTTGTACACATAAGTAAAATACCCTTTGCCAAGTATAAGCCTAAAATGACCCGAATAATTAATCCAACTAATTGACTTGAGATAACTTGAACACTTTAATCCAAACTAACCCAAGTGTCTTTTTTCCCCCTTGCTCTTCCTTCACAACTACGATCGTCCCGCTAACATGATGCCAATCTTGAGAAAATTAAAATAATATCCCTTCAATTAATTCAATAGCAAGATTTAACACACAAAAATTATCCCCTCAATTTTCCTTATTTAAGAGAATCTAGGCAAGACAGTAGTATAAAATTAGATAACAACGAAAAATAATCCCTCAAAAGCGTACTTCGTATCAAAGAAACTCTATTTCAAAGCTTTAGAGGTTTGATTAAACTCCTTACAAAAGATAAATCATTTTGGAAGAATGAGGGTGATTAAATTGCTAGGGCATTCAACAAGGTAATTTACAAATTGTTTAGACTCAAGCGGATCTGACCCCGACCTTAGCTTCTACAAAATCATGAAATGTGCATAAATTAGTCAACGTAAGCCAAAAAAAACATGGGAAAAATGGATTAAAAAAGGAAAAAAAAAAAAAAAAAAAAAAGCAAGGAAGAAAAGAGAACACTTTTAAGTTCTTAAATAGAATATATGATGGCCAACATTGTTCAAAACTTCAAACTAACAGCCCTATGGGCAAGAAATATGATTCAAGCATATCACTTATACAACTGTTTGAATCTTCTGCAGGCTTCCAGAATATTTTCCCGGTGACCAAAGGCACTAACACGGACAAAACCTTCACCTCCAGGTCCAAATCCACTACCAGGCGTGGTTACCACATGAGTCTTTTCAAGAATCTCACTGAAAACATCCCAAGAACTTCGACCAGGAAAGTGCACCCACACATATGGCGCATTTGTCCCCCCATATACATTAAAACCAAGGGACTTGAATGTATCCACTATTATGTTAGTATTTTCTTTATAGAAACCAATGACTTGCTTCATTGCCTGCAAAATGTTCAAACTTGAATTCTCGGCTTTTTAATGAAGGACAAATAACAAAATTACCGGCGACAATTTGAAAGACTACAAGTACAATCCAAAGAAAGCTGAGCTGTGTAAGGCATATATGTGTAGATGTATGAACTTCTCACAATATCTCTCTAGACTAACATACAAAGACTTAAAATATACAAGCATGGTTAGTAGAGAAGTTTAGCCAATTAGCCTGAGACCTCAGGCTTGAACACTATAAACCTTATCCATCTTACTATATACTCAAACAGATAGTGAAGGACAAACTTCAAAACAATAATCTTGTTCTCTAGATTAACTTAATTGACCTTAGCTTATTTTTACTGATTTTATTCTTAAATAAGATGAAGAGAATAGTCATATTAATTAGTTTCACGCACCATGTCACAACCATAACATGTTCAACTACTCTGTTTCTCAATGCACGTGCAAATCACTCTCAATATATTAACATAAAATAGTCATGTTGGGTTTTATTTGATTCGTCTCAATGAGTAGTTTATTAATATTCAATTGTTAAATTTTTTTTTTTAATATGCAACCATAGAGATTTGTGATCAAAATAATGCATTAGCAAGCAACAGAATCAAAATGGGAAGGGCATTTAGGATCGGATGGAGTATAAAACTAAATTTTGAAAGTGGATTGTTTTTTTTAGACAATCAAAAATAGAAATGTGGCCAATTATACTCCCTCCGTTGTTAAATACTTGCTCCATTTCTCCTAGACACGTATGCCAATGCTAATCTTTGATCAACAATATCTTTAATTATTAATAAGTATAAATTCTAACAATTGAAAATTAATAATCTATTCATTGAGACGATTTCAATAAGTACCCACAAGACTATATTTTTTCTTATGTATAAATCACAAACATTAGTCAAAGTAGGACAAATAAATAGTGCAAAAAGTAGTAATGGAGCAAGTATTTAAAATGAGGGAGTATAAAGATGGAGGGACTGAAAATAAACTATTTTATCTAGTGAGAAAAGTTGTCGTGAAGGGGAAACATTGAGTGAAAGGGATTATACCCATAGCACTATTAGTAAACAAGAAGAATCTCAAGATGAACCAACTTGCCAGATTGTCTTAAAGAACATGTAAGAATATCTTACTACAAAAGATATATTGAAGCAAAGAAACTGACCTTGAGGCCTTCTGGAGAAAGGCAAGCTAGACCACCGGCTTGGGATATGTTGGAAGCACCATTGAAGCAAGTACTGACAATGCGATTAAAGTCCTTTGCCACAGGAAATCCATCTGAAAATAAAAGTTCTTTTGGCACAACAGTCCAGCCAAGACGAACACCAGTGAATCCCGCATACTTGGAAAACGACGCTGTCTCAATAGCAACCTACACTTGCCATGAGAAATATATGTTAACAATTTATGATTTCTGCAAGTGCAGATTAAGATATCTACTTTGAGTGATTATAATGATCAGGCATAGAAAAAATTGTTTAAATTTGAAGATAACTTAAGCTCCAATAATTGCTTAATATAATTTCTGCACTTAGGTGTAATTTTGAGCTGTCGAAATACAAACAGGTAAAACAAATAATTTCCCTCAACCAGGGCCGTCCCAATCATTATGAAGGCTCTAAGTAATAAAAGGGTAATTCTCTGTTTCTCATTGTGAGAAACAAGTTTTGTTTCTCATGGGCTATGTGCCAAGATCTGGGGCTCCCACTCATGACACATACGCGGTCCCCACCAGTGAAAAACATCACATTATTTTCCAAAATGCCATTATGAGAAACAAAAGTGTTTCTCATAATGAGGAACTGGGGCTCCTTCGTAATAAAATAAATTTGGCCTCTATTATATACAAAGCACTATTAAAAAGAAAATACAAATCAATAATCAACTTTGATACCATACAAACAATAAGATTTTTTATTACAAACATTAAGTTTTTAAACTTCATGTTATTTAGAAATTATAGTACTTTAGTTTTGGATTTTGAAAGAAAAGTCTTAAGAAATTACAAAACTATGGTTTCGTAGAGAAATTAGTTACTTTAGTTTTGGATTTGGCGATAATAATAATAATGCTTTTGAAGACATTCGAACCCTGCCACCTTCATTCCATTATTTGATGCTCTTAACCAGTGAGCCACTTGGAGATCTTATGAAAAATGAGTACAACATAATGCTAAGATTAAAAAATCAGAGCCCTTGGCTAAGGGTCGGGCCTGCTCTCAACCTCATATGCATATTGAAATACATTTACAGCCAGCTCTCCTTAAGAGATTAGTATTAATGTAAAATTTTGAACTTTTCATAACATTTACAAAAACCTTCGTTCTTTATCTATTGTTAACTTTGACCTTTACGGTCTCCAATGCACGTCTTTGAACACGTATATATTCAATAAGATTTGAGTAAAAATTCTAAGAAATTTCATATTTTGAAAATTTATTTCAAGACGAATGTCACTAATCCAACAAAAACCCACATGATATGGTTTTAGTGTAGTTTATAGTTAAAGGTTATAAACGTCGACCACCAAAGTCAAAAAGTACCAATTGAAAAGTAACAGAAGGAGCAATAGATTATAAAAGATAATAATGATCAAAATTGTGCATTAGCAAAAATGTGAGCTAAAGTGTAACATCTAACATAGTATATGTTTGAACTAAGCATTCATGTTGAACTGAGTAGTCCATAATAGTCCATAACAAGGCCTAAAGGCATCACCAAAAGTAATCCACACTTTAAAAAGTAATGAAATCTCTTTATGACTTTATCTAGAGTAATGAAAGTATACTTCAAATTAAATGCAACCTCTGCGGCTCCGCCCCTTTTTTTTATATTGTCCCATAGAGTAAAGTTAACTTTATTAAAAGCTTAAGCAAAAAAACTACACAGGGGTAAGGGGATATTGAGTTAGTGAGATAAAAAACTTGCCAAATAATGCATTGGGCAATCTCAAAGTGCCACACCAAAAATAAATTTCAGAAAGGGGTGAAAGAAGTTGCGCAGACCTATTGATAATTGTGTTGCACTTCTTTACATCTTTCAAAGACACATTAAAACAAGCCCAACTAAAAAAGTACTGCAAAAGATAAAGGTTTTACATAGAAATGAGAGCACTTTCCTTACATAAGGCTAACACAAAAATAATTTATTGATTTGCATCAATTTGAAAACTATCTCCTCACATATTGTCCACGTTTGAAAATGTTATTGGTATTAATGGTTTTACTCCAATGTCGATTTTTATAAAATAAAAAGCTTAAAAAAATCGCTAATACTAGTAGCTATGTTGCAAAAACTCGGATTTGAGTGTCCGACACGGTGTTAGATCCTTCAAACACTCCATATTTTATAAAATTTCGTATAACACCACTATTAGGGGTGAAAGTAATTTGGATAAAAACCGCAAATCAAACCGAACCAAACCTAATTATTCAATTTTTTAATTCGATTTGGTTTGGATTGGAAATTTTGAAAATACGGTTGTTTGGTTTGGATTCAGGGCTTCTCAAAAACGAAAACTGAACCCAAGAAATATATGTGTGCAACCTGATTTAGTTATAAATTGGGCCCAAATTCATACCCCTAAACACCAATTGTCTAGCTGTTAATAACATATTTGTTGGGGACTTAGGGTTGCAAGCCCAACAAGAGGAAAAAGGCTTGTTGGTACAAGTCGATGGTAAATTGATGGTTTAACGATAGTTTGTTGAGGAGGAAAATCATTAAGAGGTTGAAAATAATGATGGTCTATTGAGGATGAAAATCATCAATAGAGTTAGTCTTATTTTGTAGAAACTTAATAAAACAATATTTTTGTTTGAGGGGAGGAAATCTAAATTTCTTCATAAACATTGTCTCTTTTACTACCGTATTTTGCTTCATTTTACATTGTGTTTGAGGGTGAGTTCCCAAATCGTTCCATTACACACATCGGTTACAACAAAATTCTTTTTACACATCATTTAAAAAATGTTTAGTAAAACTTTGATTGTAAGGCCCTATTACTTCACCTTATAAAGATAATAATCAGAAAAAAAAAAAAAAAAAAAAAAAAAAAAAAAATCAGTTAAGTAAAAATTAGTTGCGATCGATAAAAATAATTTAGTTTAGTAAAAATCAGTAACTTTAAGCAATAAAAATAATAATCTATAAAATTAGTTGCGTTTCGTAAAAATAATTTCAGTTCAATAAAAATCAGTAGCTTTAAAGAATAAATATAATAGAGAATTCGTAAAAATAATTTCAGTTCAGTAAAAATAATTTCACATTAGCAAAAACAAGGTGAAATGAACAAATTTAAAAAGACTTTCTCTCTCTAAAATTTTCTTTTCTGCCATGGTGAAGAAGAAAGCTAGGAAGGAGCTGATCAAAGGGACGGGATGCAATTTTCATACTCAGATTAAAGGAAGCAAGAGTTGATAGTTCAAAATCGAAGGATAAATCGCTAATTGGGGTTACCAGTATTCTTCCACTGGATTTTGGAATTCTAGATAATTTGGAGGATTTGATGAATTCGAATCTAGAACTCATTCATGGCTCTAGAACCAAGTCAAAGTTGTCGAAATGGCTGAATGTGATGAAGTCTAAGGAAGCTACTGACATGAACCCAAGAAACAGGGGATGCTTGAAACAAGGGTTCGGATTTTGAGGTAAGATCTTTGAATTTGATTAGGGTTCTTAATAAACCATTGTTGCAATTGTCAATTGAATGAAATTAATCATTGAAAACTTGGAATTGTTGCTTATGTAATTGGGGCTAATCCTTTTCTAGGTTCATTTATGGGTTTTTGCAAGCGTATGTGGGGTGAGAAGAACATTGATAAGGTGATAGCATTAAAGAGAGGGGTGTTTCTAATACGTTTTTGGAATGTTGAATCAAAAGAAAAAGCTCTGAATGCGTCAAATGTTTGATAATCGACCTGTTTTGTTTTCTTGAAACAATGAGAAGATGGGATGGAGCTTTAGTGATGCTGAGTTTACTAAGGTGCTAGTGTGGATTCAATTGCCTGATTTGCCATTGAAATACCGGGTAAGAACTCTTTAGACAAGATAGTATCCCTGGTTGGTAACCCGATTAGACCTGAATCTTGGTGGAACTTGCAATTGATGGTGAATTTCAAGATGAGATTGAGTTTATTAATGAGAAAAGGGTGTTGCTTTGTCCAAAGGTGGTGTTTGAACGAAAACCTGTCAAATGTTCTCTTTGTAAGCAGATTGGACATGAAGAAGGGGGTGTAAGAATATTAGGAAGGAGTGGCGACCAAAGGCAGTAGAGAATCAATAAATAGTTAATTCAGATGAGTAGGAGAGGTGCTGAGGAGGGGTAGCGCATTTTTAAGAGAAAGAAAAGTGTAAGAGAAGGGAAATGGGTCTACTAGAACTGGTGTTAATGTTAGTAATTCTTTCGAGAAATTGCTATGTATTAGTTGATGTGGCCCCTGGAATGGGGATGCTTCTGAATGCATAATATTCTCCTCTGGAATGTGAGGGGTCTTAATGGCCTCTCCAAGCAAAAGGAGATTAAAAGTTTACTTCTTGAGTAGGTTTGTGTTGTTTGGTTGAGACTAAAATAAAGAGGGAGGATTTTCCTTTTGTTCAGAATAATCTGTTTCTAAGGCTGGTGTGTTTCTTCTAATTTGTGTTGCTGGGAAGGATATTGGTTGCTTGGTTGGCCGATTTTTTTCAAGTACAGGTTATGCAAATTAGGGATCAGTTTATTCACTTAAAAGTGAAGAATATGGCTCTGAAGGTGGATTTTCAATGCACTTTCGTGTATGGGATGAATGACAGTGGAGGTAGGGAGGGGCTTTGGTTAGGGTTGGCTGTATGCAAGATCCTTGGTTATTTTTAGGTGATTTTAATTGTCCTTTGAACTTTGAAGATAGAGTTAAAAGGTCAATTTCATCTCAAGAGATTAACCTTTTAGAAACTATATTAGTAAGTGTGGAGTTAGTGATTTGAACCAGACTGGTTGCAAATTGACCTGAAATAATAAGCAGCAAGATAGTTGCAGGGTATTCTATTCTCTAAGATTGACATGACTTTGGTTAATGAGGAGTGGATTTTGAATTTTCCATTCATTTAAGTCTTGGTTTGATCATAGTCTAAAAAGAACGGGAAGGTTCTTTCAAGTTTCGGAATATGTGGTCTAATCATCTTGAGTTTGAGTTTGAGGAGATGGTAAAGGACATTTGGGAGACTGATATACATGGTGTTAAGATGTATAAAGTTACTAAAAAGCTGAAGATGTTGAAGCAGGCTCTTAAGAATTTGCATAGATCAGATTATGCTGAGGTGATATTGAAGTGCAGTATTGAAAAAGGATTTGGATGAGGTACTGATGGTGTTTGGTGCAATACTCATGAGAATACCT